ACACCGAATTGTCACTAAACTTTAGGTGCCACATCCTTGATATTATGACCTATGCTTGGACAAAGTTTGAAGATGATCCAACAAGCATGGAAAGTGACCAAAGTACCGGGTAGAAAAACCCAGTGCAAAAAGATGGGGAAAAAGATATGGAAGGAACCAAAAATCATATTAAAAAAAAAACAATGGCTTTTCCAGCTACTGCTAGGCAAAGCCAATAACAAATAGTATTTATTATCAAAAGAATAGTGATGATGAGAATGAGTTTTGAAAATAATATGACCCAATAAGTAAATTAGTTTAAAAAAATGTTAAGGTGTTCCTAGTGGCTCAGTCGGTTAGCGCGCCGTACTTACAAACAGTACTTGGATCCGTCTTTAGGTAATGCTACTACTAGGAAAAGCCAATAATAAATAGTATTTATTATAAAAAGAATAGTGATGATGAGAATGATTTTTGAAAATAATATGACCTAATAAGTAAATTAGTTATAAAAAGTTTTAAGGTGTTCCTAGCGGCTCAGTCGGTTATCGCGCCGTACTTATAAACAGTACTTGAATCCGTCTTTACTGGTTAGGTAATGCGGAGGTCGAGAGTTGGATCCTCTTCTCTTCTGGCGAATTACTTTTTTTGTTCAGAAATTTGTTGTGGTTTGATTTTATATTGAGTAAAAATTGCTTTTTCATGACCTACTCTCAATACAGCGATGATGTCTTTTTCTTTGTGCCAGAAAATAATTTAGTGTCTCTTAATGTCTTATGAAACTGAATGGTCCGTCACAATTGAGAGGGACTCGCGAAAAAAACACCTTTCTGAACAAAATCGTTCATTTCTTCTTCATTGTTTTGGATCGGAGCTTTAGGTACCTTGGTTAGTACCAGGATATATTAATAGAAAATGAAAAATCTGCTTCTAACCAAATAAGACAAAAATAACATAGGATGAACTCCACATCGAGATATTTTGATCTTTTGCCTATCAGTATGCAATGATGTTTCGATAACCTGTTTTAGTGCAACCATATTATGGATACGAGACTATTACTATTAGTAAGTTAATAATATCACATAACTTATATATAGGGCTGCGTTATCTGTCCCTTTTGTCCATCCCAATACCATATCCGTATCAATAGTAGTTGACCTCATAAGCCTATTTACATAGTACCTACAAAGACAACTTTATTAATAATTAATCTCGTTGTCTATTTTGGTTACTTTTATCTACACCTCGGTATATTTTTAGTAACTAAATTTATTTTTAAACCCGCAATAGTTAATCTGATGCTCCGCCTTCAAACGCGCATCATATGATTGGTCTCGATAATAGCATATAAATACGTAAATGTTAATAGGTGAAGTTTTTTAAATTTTTTTATTTATACATGGGCTCTAAACGATCTTTGCTCCTAATTCTTCCTATTCATTTGTTTGAAGCTCGTAGTATATTTTACAGATGGAGGGCCCAGACTACCTCAGCCCACCATGGTTGGAGCCGCTGAGTACGGGAATTTATGTTCTATATGGCACTCTTAAAAACGAAAGTACCCTAAAGTCAACTTTGATTTCAATTCATTTTTTTTTTTCAAATCACTATTACTCAGTAAAAATTGACATTAGATTTACACCATGATTAAAGGAAAGACACAAAAGTTAAACCCAAGACTTGGTATATAAAAGGACACGCAGGGGTAAACAATTACAATTACGACACGGAAAAAGGTAGGCATAAAGAAAAAGAGACGACAAGCAACAATCGAAATGAAGCAGTATGATCGACATTCTAACTTTCACTCGGTCACCATCATTGTCATTATATTCTAACATGATGCAGTAAAGAGGATTGAGTAGATCCGGTGATACGTCCATGCAGACAACGAGGTCTGGCGCAGTGGGGATATTCATCGTTGACGTCCCTCATACACATATAGACCTAATATTAACAAAATCTTCATTCGATAAGAATTTTCAAAACATAATAAATCGTATTTCTCTAGGTAGTGTGTGATGTTACGATTATGATCCATATTTACAGAGAAGATAGCAATAAACCAGAAGAGCACACGTGACGATCACAACGAGGTCTTGCGCAGTGCAAGTGCATCGGTGACGCCCCTCATACATAATAATATAAATTAAATCGTCATTCGTATGATAACAATTTTCAAAACATAATAAATCGCATTTCCCTAGTTAGTGTGTGATGTTACGATTATGATCCATATTTACAGAGAAGAAGCAATAACCCAAAAGAACGCACGTGACGACCACCAGACCACCAACTGATGTACTGGTGCGCGAACATTAATCATGAAACAAAGCTTAAATGCTTCATCATTATATGTTTTTTTATTCCAACCATTATAAATAGTGCTAACAACATAGTGACAAATATTGAATAAATATTTGTGACACCCCCTCTGTTGATCATCAAACATTTATTTATTTATGTCTGACAGAACATAGGGCTTTTCCTCATTGCCATAATGAGAAGTGATGTTGAAATTTAAAAAGTAAAAACTAATTAAAAAAAATGTAACGTAAAACACGAAAAATAATTGACCCCGTTTCGAAATATCTAGTGGGGTGTTTCCTATAGATCCTTTTTAAAATGGTCCTTACATTCACACCCACACCGAATTGTCACTAAACTTTAGGTGCCACATCCTTGATATTATGACCTATGCTTGGACAAAGTTTGAAGATGATCCAACAAGCATGGAAAGTGACCAAAGTACCGGGTAGAAAAACCCAGTGCAAAAAGATGGGGAAAAGGTATGGAAGGAACCAAAATCATATAAAAAAAACAATGGCTTTTCCAGCTACTGCTAGGCAAAGCCAATAATAAATAGTATTCATTATCAAAAGAATAGTGATGATGAGAATGAGTTTTGAAAATAATATGACCCAATAAGTAAATTAGTTAAAAAAAATGTTAAGGTGTTCCAAGTGGCTCAGTCGGTTAGCGCGCCGTACTTACAAACAGTACTTGGATCCGTCTTTAGGTAATGCTACTACTAGGAAAAGCCAATAATAAATAGTATTTATTATAAAAAGAATAGTGATGATGAGAATGATTTTTGAAAATAATATGACCTAATAAGTAAATTAGTTATAAAAAGTTTTTCAGGTGTTCCTAGCGGCTCAGTCGGTTATCGCGCCGTACTTATAAACAGTACTTGGATCCGTCTTTACTGGTTAGGTAATGCGGAGGTCGAGAGTTGGATCCTCTTCTGGCGAATTAATTTTTTTGTTCAGAAATTTGTTGTGGTTTGATTTTGTATTGAGTAAAAATTGCTTTTTCATGACCTACTCTCAATACAGCGATGATGTCTTTTTCTTTGTGCCAGAAAATAATTTAGTGTCTCTTAATGTCTTATGAAACTGAATGGTCCGTCACAATTGAGAGGGACTCGCGAAAAAAACACCTTTCTGAACAAAATCGTTCATTTCTTCTTTATTGTTTTGGATCGGAGCTTTAGGTACCTTGGTTAGTACCAGGATATATTAATAGAAAATGAAAAATCTGCTTCTAACAAAATAAGACAAAAATAACATAGGATGAACTCCACATCGAGATATTTTGATCTTTTGCCTATCAGTATGCAATGATGTTTCGATAACCTGTTTTAGTGTAACCATATTATGGATACGAGACTATTACTATTAGTAAGTTAATAATATCACATAAATTATATATAGGGCTGCGTTATCTGTCCCTTCTGTCCATCCCAATACCATATCCGTATCAATAGCAGTTGACCTCATAAGCCTATTTACATAGTACCTACAAAGACAACTTTATTAATAATTAATCTCGTTGTCTATTTTGGTTACTTTTATCTAAACCTAGGTATATTTTTAGTAACTAAATTTATTTTTAAACCCGCAATAGTTAATCTGATGCTCCGCCTTCAAACGTGCATCATATGATTGGTCTCGATAATAGCATATAAATACGCCTACACTGAAACTTCGGAAATTTCCTTTCACAGTTGGTTGAAGCACAGGTGATAACATCTATCTAAGTGTTGAATACAGCTTCAAGAAAATATAGAGTGGACCCTTCAACAATATGCTGAGACCAGCAAAACATAGAAGTCTACTACCAATTAGGAAACGTATATTGTAAGTAGGCCTACAGTAGCGCGGGTGTAGCTTAGATGTTAAGATGCTTCCTTCCATTAATCTCAGGGTCCTGGGTTCAATTCCTGTCGAAGTAGGCATTTTTCGCAAGATCAAAAACAACTTCACCCCTGAGTCTCATGAAAATATAAGGAGACTTAATTTATGTAAAAAAATCATACGTATGTACTTTATTTGTCTTGTGTTAGAAAGCAGTGTCTGAGAGTGCACTGGTTGGGTTTCACTCTCGTAATGATGATCACGAGAAAAAAAGCCAATGTTATTGTATAAATATTTAGATGTTTGTACTAACGGAGCATATATATTATATGACACCATCGAGTACATATTTTAACTATGAACTCTGAAAAAAATTGTCTTATGGTGCTTCGGGAGTGGGTTGGAATATCTTAATCGTTAGAACAATAACATTATTGCGTGTCATAGGTTTTGAACCCAGAATCTGAAATTTGAAGATATCTTAACCACCAAAATATTGGTTGGGCCACTTAAAATTCACTACAAATAAATAGTTAATTTATTTATCAACGTAGGCTACATTTATCCTATCCATGATTGTAGGCCAACATATCCTGGTATACAATGTATGTTTCATGTTGTGTTAGTGAAAGCAATGTAAAATGCATATTTAATTAGGCCATATATACATATTTTTTAAAATAAATTTACTAAGACTTATTGTCTTATAGATGTTTAAGCTGTTCGCTTATAGATTTTTTATCTGTTCTATTTGTGATCTTTTTTTAATAGTCGTATGAAATGTTTACATATGATATTGAACGAAATTTATCTATATATCAATCTACCATCATTATACGGCAGTATTTTTAATAGGCCTAGTAGAGTGTCGCATTCAATGTTAAACAAAAGTGAAAGCAATTCTGGTCCCGGGTTTGACCTCAACAGTTCAACATAAAATGTTGTACTTAAAGGCATAATTTGTCGATCGATATTTTGTATTAATTTTTTGTTTAGGACTCCTATTCGTAACTTTCTATGGCCATCATCCTTGTTGGATCTGGTAGGGTCCATACTGACAGTTGCTTTCATCACTGTAACGAAACTGTCAATCTTTGAGAGTTGTCGAATGCTACTCTGGGGCATTGGCGATTATATTTATATACAAGGTACGTTACAAAAAATGATATGAAAATGAAACATTCATTTTCAGTGAATAATGCATTGTTTATTATGTAGTAGATATGTAAACGTCAACACAATGCATGGCCTCAAAGGCACAATTCAAAAGATTAGAAAAATAGTTCGTCAGGTTTTGAATTTTTGGCCACGCCCTTTTAAGACTGAGTTCCATATTTCTCAAATTCTGGACACGCCTCTGTTAAAGATATAAGTCTGTGTTCAACCCTTTAAACAGTATAATCCAGTATTTAAATTGCTTGTACATTGTACAGTTCAGAAAAAAAACAAAACAAAGTAGGCCTTTATCTTTTAGTGTTGAGTATATGTGCAGTTTAATGGTATTAATGTTTTTGATTATTATAGTTATGAAGAATTGCGATCGAATTAATAATGAAAATGATAATTATTATATTTATTTATTATAAGATGACCGAACAAACATCGAAAATCAGCTAAAGCTGTCGGTTGTATTGGGAACTTTGATCTTCGCCGGCCTCGTTTACATCCGAAAGGTGCTTCTTAGAATATTACTGGCTTACAGGGGATGGCTATGTAAGTAGGCTTGCGGGGTTACTCTGGTATACTATTATTATTGATAAAATTTTCATCAGCATTTATCGTTATCGACATTATCCTATGACCACCACCACCACCACCACTACGTCGTCGTTGTCGTCGTCACCGTATTCATTACAAATTCGTTTTCATCTTTTTTATTCTTATTGTTAGACGAGCCACCAAAGAATACCTCAAAATGGACCATTGCCTGGATGTTGTCCATTCGAGTTTTAGGAGGTTGGAAGCCGTCCACATATTCTTGCCAATCGAGCCTTCCGCGCATGCACGTACCACTCTTGAGTTCTACAATTAGGAAGTTTATGAAGTCAGTGAAACCAGTCTTAAGCAAAGATGAATACGAGCAAATAAAAAAAGAAGGAAAGGTAAAACGTTATGTTGTTGATTATTTTCCTCACTAGGTGGCGCTATTCTTCCTTAGTTCATCCATTTCTCTGATCTCTCCTGAGTACTTTGCGTAACCTTACTTCAAATTGTTCACTCATGGCCGTTCGGGTTGTTCACGACAAAGCTCTTCCTTTAATTATTAAACGTTAAAACATTTGAAATAAAACAAAACGATCATGCTCTTTCATATGAATAACTATCGTTCTACATAATGTCCGATCAGTGTCTTTAAAAAAAAATCGATTCAATAAAAATGTTCATTTTTATTTATATAGGCCTCCAGGAATGCAATTAACAAAAATGTGTTTACTTATTGTTAAAGGAATTTACAAAATCCCAAGGAACGAGCTTACAATTCATGTTGAATTTAAAGGCGTGGTGGTCACCCAGCTACGTATCCGATTGGTGGTAAGTAAAAACACCCTTAGCCAATCAACAATGCAATGATAATTTGTAGGCAATTATCGGTCGAAAAATACACACATGTTTTCATACTATGATAATGGCCTTTATAATGCTTTAGTTCAAACTTTTTGACTATAATCTAAGTACAAATTAATGTAAAATTTCTCATATCATTCTTTTACAGGGAAAAATACGCATATTTGGCTTCGCGTTCACCTCTTCCAATCAATAGCAACTTTTATGGTCTTGATAATTTCTCTGTCCATGCGACTGGAATCCAAACAGCAAGGTAAGATATTACCGACGTAACCTAAAGAACGAAACTAGTTGACTATAGATAGGATAGCAGTATTTGATTTGAAACACACTGAAGTCTGAAAACGTATTTTCATAATGTCATTCAGGCTGGTAAATTTGGCGGCACACCGGGCACAATCCCCTGTGGTACTTCTATTTTCCAAAGAATGCACTGTGTTCCTTAGAGTGCACCTTAGTCATATAGGAAAAACGGCTTCAAAGTGTCATCCGAAAAACGATGGGCTATTGAAACCTGTATTTCAAGCCGCCAACTGAAACACAAGGGGAGCATGCGTTTGGATAACCATTCTGCAGTACCGGAACCCTGGTAAATTTGGATGGATTGATGGATTTAAGTTCGGTGTAAACACCAAGGATCATCCCACAAAAGTCTGAAGAAGACTTATTTCCAGTTTGGTCCTTCTGGTGGTGATTGGGCAGTACACCGAGAGACAATCCCCTACTCTTTTCCGAAACCTGCACACGGGCCATAATGCACATGGGACCAAAGGCTTAAACGTCTCATTCGAAAAACGGTGCGCTATCGAAACTTGCATTTCAGCCCTCCAGCTTAAACACAAATAGAACAGCGATGGCAATAGAACCGGAGACCTAGAGATCTCTACGGTTCAGCGCACACATAGTATCCGACTGAGCTAAGCTGCTCATGTCAACTTACACTAGCTAGTGTGATTACCTTTGTCAGTCAAATAACGTTCTCATCTTTATCGTTTTCTTCCTAGCACTTTTAGAACCACTGTAAATGGACTTTAATTTGCTGTGTATTAATTGATTGATTGCTACCTTTTTAGGGCCGGTGCGATAGTACATTTTTATTTGCTCTTCATGCTGATGTTGGAGAATGGTCAGATACCTGCAACCATGATTCAAAACGCAATTCCATTGTGTATGAATCAATACAAACGCTGCTTCAGTTCAGCTAGGTCAGTCTGATTTTTCTTATCTATTTTAATATTGTCCGAATGTATATTGATACACTTAAACATTTTCAATGATATCTGTAATGAGTAATTATGGTGGTAATGACGATGACGATAATGATGATTTGATGAGGGTGATGATAGTGATAATGATAATAAACCACATGCAAATGACAATAGCCATAATGATCATTATTATCACTTTAATCCATACAAACCACTATCTGCAGTATACTTGGAGCCCATGCAGTTGATCTATTCAAAGGCGCGAACAATTTTTACGCAATCATTACGCCGCAATTTTCTGCAATATAAACGAAATAATTTTCTTTATGCTATAGAGTTCCAGGTGAAGAAATTGATGAAATTATTCATGTAGATATATCTGAATCTAAGGTAAGTCTATGAATATATTTCCTTCTTTTGACTCGGAGTTTCCTTAAATTTTGCTCCATAATAGCTGAATATCCATAGCCCGATACAAAAACAACGTTGTCCAATACATAAATTCAGAATTACAACATTTTATATTACCATCTATTGTATTGAAATCAACAACACGTTTTTATCTAAATCGCTAGCTACCTTCTGACGAATGACATTACGGCTGCTTTAATTTTATTTGATAGTATGTTTTAACTTTCACTAGCAAATACAAAATCCTTTATCAAATGACATTCCTTGGTCTACAACGAATACATTTCAAATCGCATTTGTCTTTCCTTTTTATAGTTTTTCGTGGTAAATAGGAAAGGCGTGATGTATAAGGTTGACATGTTTGATAGTAACGGAGAGCTGCTCTCGCCCAAGTCTATACAGGACCAATTGGAGTGGATAATTGATGACGCAGAGCGCCACCAATGTAAGACCCGAATGTTGGTTTACCGTATCAGATTTTAATCAGTATGAATCAAAGATCATTCGATTAATCAGTCAGTGATTGGTCGGTCTGTCATCAGTCAGTCGGTGGTCAGTTGGGTGGTGTGACTGGTTGGTAGATAGATGGGTTGTATGTATGACTGACTGGCTGACTGATTGACTAATTGATATAGATTAATGGCAAAATTTTAGATCAACCAAAATTTAAATAGTTGAATAAATTACTCAATTGTTGATTTTCCACAAAAAAAAAGATGCTGCGACATCAATGGCTTCACTCACGGGACTGCAACGTTCTGATTGGGCACAAGTACGCAAGCAATATCTAGCAACCGGGGCAAATGAAGAAATCCTTCGTACAGTAGAAAATGCGGCGATATATGTAAGTTATACTTAATTTTTTCTCTCTTTTAAGAAACAATCAAATTTAATTAAATAAAGTTAAACCTATTCAGAATTTCAAAAATTAAGACTTTTTTTAAACTCTCAGATAACACTTGATGAACGTTGCCCGCAAGATTCGAATGAACAAGCCCAGTTTTCAATGTGTGGAGACTGCAAAACGTGCTGGTTTGACAAATCTCAATCTTTGATCTTCTTCGGGAATGGCAGATACAGTATGAACGTGGAACATACGTGGGGTGATGCGCTAGTGGCCGCCCATGTCTCAGAGTGGGCAATGGTCCAGGAGTAAGTTCTTCGAAATTAAGCTATAATGTTTTACTGTAAATAGTCGATCTAGGCTATATCTATATCATGATACGGTTATTCATTCAAAATGACTGGATTATATAGATAGTGTTTGCTAAGCAGTGGCTTATCTACGTGGGTGTGGGGATTGGGAGCACGCCCCATAAAGGATTGCGACCCCCAGGCGCCAACACCTATCCGTTGCACACTGGAAATTTGCTGAACAAATAAAATTCGCTCATAGTTGAAAATCATTTTGTTTTGCCCGCTCACTTAATCGAGCTCCCGATGTAGTAACCTTTGCGCCGTCGGCCCCTTCAGCCCTCTCCATGTCAGTTGTTGCCAAATCATTTTTCAATCAAATACTTTTTTTTCAAACAGGTTAGATAATGTTTACGATGAAAGTGGTAACTGCAAACCTCCAGAAAATGCCAAACTCTCAACAGTGTCTAAGCCAACAATCTTGCAATGGCAGGTTAATGATGATCTAAATTGGCACATTAAACGCGCCTTCAACTTTCTACGCACGGTAGGTACAACAGCGATACAAACAGCTGGGGTCCAGAAAGATACTCTAGGTTACATTATCAATATTCTTGGTAAAACAGATTTTGATTATAACTCTAAACTCAACCTTCCCTCTCCCAATGGCGGATGGAGCCCGGTGCAAAACTACAAAATCAGAGAACTTTCGGCCTAAACCATTTCAACCTGACGATTAGCATAATTTGTAATCAACAATTCCAAAATCGAAGTTCTGCCCTGTACGCATAACTTCTGATGTCCGGATTCTTTATTTTTTTTCCTTTTGTTTTTTCTTCGTGTAATACGGTACGCAGAACCACTATCGCGGCGGGCGCAAACACTCCGAATTGGAATGACTTAGGCCTATAATACATAACTCTTTTTTTCCCTATTTCACAGAATAACGAAGATTGTGATGTGGTCGTGACGAACTTTGATGAATATGGCAAAGGATTCGTCAAGAAACAAAAGGTATACCTAAAAAAATCAGTGCAGAGTTAAGACAATATAAATATTTCAATATTGCGTCACATCAAACTGTATTTGGACGCAGTCTTTTGAGAATACAATTTAAATACACATGTGCAATTACTTTTATTAGGGTTATCCTGATGAATATCGGAACTTTCAGTGTTCATAAAGTTTTTTATTGTTTTTTCCTCCCTTTTTTTGGCGGGGTGTGGGTTCCCGACGGTGTCCCATTATTGTCTTAGTGTATTTAACAAAATAGTCCTATTGTGAGGTTAGTCAATCAAGACAAAGGGGACCTTAAATACATACAAAACAAGAAAGTATAAAATAATAAGTGTATACACTGCACTAAACCAAACCTTTGAAAAAAACATTTGATGCTAAAATTAAGACAAATAAAAAAAAAGGATAAACCAATAAACAAAAAATAATAAATAAGCATAATAATATGAATGAATTATGAACGAATGTGTTGCTACTTTTACTGCAATACATTGATAGAGATATTCCATGGAGGAATTACGCCCCAAACTATTTCTCTTTAACCTCATAATTTTTTTTTCTTTATAGATAAGTCCGGACGCCTACCTCCAGTTAGCATATCAACTAGCGTATTTCCAGAACACAGGCAAAACACCTCTCACTTACGAATCTTCTATGACCCGTTTGTTTTTGCACGGAAGGACGGAGACTATCCGTTCAGCTACACCGGCTTCTGTTGCTTTCGTAAAGTAAGCTTAACTTCTTTGCAATTTCGAAATGTAAAATCGGTTTTTATTTATTTGGCCATTTGCGTCGTAGACTGTTGGCCGACGAACCCAACATCGCTCTGTAGCTCTGTGAGCGTTGAACGATGATGTGTTCGTCGATAGCAGTCTGAAAGGATCGTCATTAAAACGATCCGTTGCGCTCACTTCGTCGCGTTGCGTTAATTCTCCATGGAATTGTGTCGGCCGACAACCATCGAGAGCAGAGCGACGTGTGCTGCCTTTATAATGTTGGGTTTAACGAATAATTTATAATTAAGTATCATTTGTTTTCAATATTTGGAAATTATCATACGACAAACACCAAGAGGACAACTCTGGGTGATTCAGAATGAAGGATTGTCGTAATGTGGACTTAGACCAACCAGCAAGATCACTCACAAAATCGTTTATGATACATTGGTCAAAACCGAGGTCGTTACATCTTGTTTGTTCATGTGTATATTTTTATTTAATAGGGCAATGGTCCAAAACCACCATTCAAGAGAACAGAAAATATCACTTCTGAAGAAAGCTGCACAAACACATAGCTTACAGTACAAGGAAAGTATGACGGGAAAGGCTTGCGATCGACATCTGTTTGCCCTATACATCATGTGCAAGGCACTTCATAGAGTAAGTGATTAAGAGTGACTCTTAGATTAGAAGCAACTCTATCAAAAATGCCATTGCTTTGGCTACGCCATGCATATAAAGGCCAACTCAGACAGCGTCGGCCGACGCAGCCCGACCCGATTTATCGTCGGGGACAGTCTTGAGCCGTCGTCGATTTGTTGTCGCGTCGGGTCTGTGTGAGTTGAACGCAGACGCGATAGTGTGCGTCGGGGGCAGTCGCGTAGTAGAATATTAAACGTGTTTAATATTTCTCACGACGGCTTAAGGCTGTCCCCGACGATAAATCGGGTCAGGCTGCGTCGGCCGACGCTGTCTGAGTTGGCCTTTAGAAAACGCGCATCGGCCAGTCAGTCAGTGTGGAGTGGGGTGTGGTGGGGGAGGGGAACAACAAATACTTGGCGTTAGAAAACCTCTTCAAAATATGTAACCCCTCCCCCATTAATTGTATCTATATTCTTTGAACATTAATCATTGAAGCATGATTCTAATATATAATTAAAAACCTTTATAGTATTATTATTATTATTAATATTATTATTATTATTATTAAGGGGCCTATTATTATCATCATCAATTATTAATAATGTTTTGTTTGTATTTCCTCTTTTTTATGACAGTTTTTGTTGATAGATTATTCTCCTGTTACTCGGATGATTAATGCGTTTTATTTATTATTTTAGGAAAGTCCATTCCTTAAGCACGCACTCTCACTTCCATTTACGTTGTCAACTAGTCAAACGCCACAGAACCAAGTAAAGAAACCCCCATACACAATGGAAACAAGGAATAAGGTAAGGTACCCACTACTGACGTCATGGGGTTAAGACCTGTCTCTTATACACATCTAGATGTGTATAAGAGACAGCTAGCTACCTTCTGACGAAAGACATTCAATAGCTAATGTTAATTTTTTGTTAACGCTGGTAGGTGTCCCCAGTGGCTCAGTCGGTTAGCGCGCCGTACTTATAAACAGTACTTGGCTTCGTCCTTACTGGTTAGGTAATGCGGAGGTCGAGAGTTCGATCCTCTCCTGGGGAACTACCATTTTTATGATTCAAAATATTTCAGTGTTCCTGATTTTGTTTTACAATTATTTAACTACAGATATCTTTAATTAATTTAATTGAAATTCAACAACACGTAGACGTACTTGCTATTAATTCCTTTAATTCGACATACGATTGTAATGGTCAAGAACTTAACGGGAAAGGCCTCTGTGCACTTAATACACCCATGCCACACATACTCGGGGGGGGGGGAGTATTCCTCTATTAGTTCTTTGGATTCAAACACAACCAGGTACCCATCAACATCCCTGGTTAAATAGAGACAGCATGGATATTAACATCCATTTCCTAGCACAAGACACACAATTTGGATTAAAAAAAAAAACTACGACTACAGCGCGCGATGTGATCTGACTCATTACATTGGGTGCTTACCTTGCCTATACTCGTGGGTTGAATCCATGCGATAAACAGGAGACATATTTTATTTATAAAAAGGCAATTTTTCTTATGGTTAAATATGAATTAATACAAATTTAATTAAAAACTATATTTTGAGGAATCTATCATCCACTTTTAATTTTGTTTTCAGGCTTCTCCAGGGGGAGGATTCGGGCCAACCTCTGATCAAGGTTATGGAATTTCTTACATGTGTCCAGAAGACTCGCGATTCTTTTTCCACGTGTCATCAAAAAGATCTTGTCCAGACACTGACTCAACCAAGTTCTCGGAGTGTATATTCACGGCGCTCCGAGATATGCGACACCTTCTAGAAGGCTAAACTCCTAATATATATTTCAATTACTTACATAATAATGTAATTTTAGTATTTGTAAAGAAATACAGATATTACATATCGTGTTTTAGTAACACATACACGAGTGCAAAGTTTTACTGGAAGTACTATAAAAAGGCATCAACACCGCTTCACATAAGATAGTGTCTTAAGTAGCCTATTTTTGTATATTTTGTTGTTGTATATAGGCGTGTTTTAAATTCGTACCGTGTGTAAATACTAGAAATGTAACTGTAAATATAAATATAACAAATTTAATAATTAATATTAAAAAGTTTACTTATACTCTTGAAAGAAAACAAAATATCAGAAACAAATAATACCATTCCTACATTTTATGATTAGCCGTAAACTCATTGGAAGTTGATAACCTGTATGATACTTCCAACTAAGCAAACAATTCAGTTTTCATTGATGTTTTTAGGGTTTTCAAAATTTTACCACAAATGTGGTTGAGGAAAAACAAAGAAATTTCAAGTCTTCTTATTTAACTACAATTATTCTCTAGGCCTTCCATTTTGGGCACGTAATCAAGATTTTATAGGGGATTAACTATAAGACCTATAGGTGCTGGGGAGCTAAGACACCATGGTGGTGTCCAAATTAGCTTTGATGGTTAGTAGGGGAACGGGGGTGAACGAACAACTGGAGCTGAAGCATTATAGCATATAATAATAATAATAATAATTTCATCATCATTTTGACGTCGTTTGAAGCAAATGGATGTGTGGTTCACCATCATTAGCTTCGTTTGAAAAGGTAGTTCGCTCAAAAGGGGTATTTAGCCAAACCGTTAGCTACCTCCTTGTTAGGGCCTGTGGTATTTGTGAACGTTTTTTGTTTACAGTTTGTAAAAACAAAATAAATAAAAATTGTACAGCATTACAGTTTTGGTAGCATGTTACTATGTTGTCCGACAATCCAACGAATCTACACGATAGAGACATTCCTGACAAAGATGTGTTTTGTTGTTAGGTGAACAAAATTGCAATTCGAAAATGGGTGTCGTGGCTTCATAGAACCACAATTTTAGGTGTTGATTCCAAACTAGGTAATTATCTACACTATAGAATCACGCTTTTTGAGGGCCTACTGTACTCAACACTATATATTTTCAGAACCAGAATCTGTGAGAATGTTGAGTGCAAAATCGCAAAATTATTATTCAGATTAATTTTTGCTGTTGTTGCATTTCTGGCACACTGTATTTGATGTATTACACAGAGGAATCTTTGCATTTTTTGCAGCTTATTGGATTGGCTATATTCGGTGAAAACACCAAGGACAAACCACGAAAGTTTAAAGAAGACTTATTTCCAATGGAATCCCCTACTCTATTCTGAGGAGTGTACCGCATTCTTCAACGTGCACATGGGACCAACAGCTTTAAACGTGTAATTTAAAAGATGCTACCGTAACTTGCATTTCAGCCCTCTAGCTCAAATACAAGGAGAGCAGCGATGAGAATTGGACCAGGGACCAAAGGATCTCCAGGGTTCTGCGCGCGCGCACACACACACACACACACACACTTGCTGCCACCAGTTTAGCCGACTGAGCTTAGCTGCTCTTATATTACCGCTTCTACATCAAATGATTATTGCATGATTACTTCTAGACTTGCCACAAGTAACTTATTTTTTCTCGTTCTGGACAGCACTACCAACGACAAAGTTTAACTTACAGAATCCTAATCCGAAAAAAAAGAAAAGAAATCGAGTATGGGACGACAATCAAATTAGGTATGGCGCGCACTAAGCGCAATAAAGAGTGAGTAACCCAAAATTAGGCCTGTGACACGGGCTAGAATACTTCCAACTTGTAAGATTAAAGATATCAGAAAACTTTCAATTTGATAAAATTTATCACACACGAAAAACATTCTAAATAAAATACCAACATCTACAGGGTATTATTAATTTAATTGCTTATTAAATACTGGTATATATATTTAAATTATAGCCCAGACATATATTTATATTGCATTTTACATTAAACTTAAATTTACACCACTTTTTTTCAAATATATACAATATTTAATCTTATAGATAGTATAATATTAGTAGCCCTCTTTAAAATAAGTTGGCCTGTGTATAGGTTACAATGTGATGTGGATGAGCCCATCATTATAACACCAATACTATACCCTTGAACTTAAAGCTATTGGTGATATATACTACCAAAATAAACAATATAAAACAATGTATTTGTTTTTCTTTCCATACTTGAAAATGCAATCTCATAAAACTTGAATTGTTATATTTTCCCACCCCAATGGAAATGAACCTCATCAATATACTTCCCTGCCAAAAAAAAATTAATATACTGTATTATAAATAGGGAAAAATTCTCGTAAAAAATTATGAAATATTTTGCTAAATAATTATATCAAAGTAATTTCTACTTTTAACATGTTAAATGTTAATTAATAAGAGCATGCTCATTGAGAAGATTTAGATTTTCAGTTAAACATACAGTTTCCGGTAGTTAAAAAAAATCATTGGTCTGTAAGTTCGGACAAGATTTATAACTAAAAAAAACTGTGTTAAGCTCTGTTTACACCATCAAATATATTTTGTGCAATGCACCCATATATGGGCATGATGATGTCATATTACACCCAAATATGACCGTATCACATTTTTTGTCATATACAATTTGATAGTGTGGACACAGATTTACTATTGCTCCTTATATTTTCAACATTCACAAGCCATTGCTCTCACATTTTAGCCTGTTATCTGAGGGCTTCACTGAACAAAACCCAAGATAATGGCCGTAAAACCACGCCCACCTGCGCAGTGGTAAAATCCTATTTCACGAAGACGACCTGCGTCGTCAAGGTTTCTTCAGATTGTGGCAGTATGGGTTTTTCATTAAAAAAAATGTTTTCATCCAGTTTTTGGAATCATGTGGATAAATATTATAATTTCTACTTTCTGAAATTTGATCTAAATTATATTAACGCAAATTTTGTTGCTAAACTGACCAATCGGCTATGCTTGTTTTGGTCAAGTGGATAACTTAACGATGATTAATGCACTCTGGTTAAGTTGTCAACAAAGTCTATTTTACGAACCAGTCGAATGAAAACAATACTCAACGGAAAATCGTAGTCAACGAAATGAACCAGTTGAACAAGCCCAATGTTATGTTCTCGGACGAAGCCACTGGTGTATTCCACCACTGATATTGGCACAATAAAATATATCTATTGATTGATTGATTTATTGGACAATTTTTGACTTTCTGTACCCCACAGCCTATAACTATAGCATACATCTTTTTCCTTTCAGCCGAACCCTTAGGATTTCGATCCTTACAGACAATCAATTTTATTCCTCTCTTGCTTAATATTTAAAAAAAATTGCTCAACAAAAATACCCATAGCGCAAATGATACTGCACCTTGGTTGCTTTTTAAAGTACAACAGTGAAGTTTGCGTAAAACGTGCTATCAGACACATTGTACCTGGCTTGGCATATAGGAGCTTTTCATTTTTATTTTCGTGTTAACAGTGTTTTCAACACTAGACGAAAGAAAGAAGAATTCTGCCTTCCAGTATTGACCAAGATAGTGTGGCAGGTCAACTTGCAGACCATATCAGACAGGCCAATTCTGTTGTATCATTACAAACACTTCTTAAAACCAGGGGTGGCACCAGGATTTAGTGTCAATGGCCTGACGGAAGGGGGGAGGGCGCAATGTTCCTGACGATAGCAAAGTGGGTGTACACTGGCATTGCTCAAAATCACTTTTTTCCTAGGTAGCGTCACTGTAATGGTAGTGGAGCCATAGGCTTATCCTGTGGTGGAAAGTGAAAAAGCTCAGAATTTTTTCTTTAGTGGATTATCTGCGTATACAATATATATTGTCAAATTCAGACAGTGACGTTATTTTGACATTGACAGGTGTAACTATTTGAATGTCACCATCTCCAGCACTGCTGCTTACTGAAACCCACATTTAGGGTTGTATTTTATAATTGTTGTTTCTACTTACTTTATTTTTACATTTATGTTGTTAAGCACTTTGAGGTGTTAACGTAGGTACAATATAAATATTTGTGATTATTAGTAAAAGATATACATGCAGCAAAAAAGCCAACAAATACAGTAGTCTACTAGGTAATGCACAGGTACAACAATGCCAACACACATACACATCAAGTTTACTTGATGTGGTCAGTTCATTGGACAAGAAGTGACCAAGGTGGACATGATGATCTAAAGTACCGCACTATTTGACTAGAAAAGCAGACACACCATTATCATATGATTTTTTTTAAAGCTTGGTAGCACTGGTCTTTATAACAGGAAGTTATGAGCAGGTTCTGTCAATCACATTGCTGTCAATCAATCAAACAGTCCAGCGGAAAGTAGGATACGCAACATTGGGTCATGTGACAATATGTACAACCAGGTGGTCTTGGAACAGGAATGATTATGCTGACTGATTCAAAGTGCTTCACTTGGCTGGTGTAACTGATCAACTGTCAATCAAACTGAATGACAAGCTGTCAGGAAAGATTTCCAGTTTTACCAGTTTTTGGATGAATAGAACAAGATGTAAGCCGCTGATCCTTGCTGGAAAAACAAATTGAAATTATTAACTTATTATTATTATTATTTTTCATTAATGTTTTTATTAATAACTACATTTTTTTTTTCTCAACCCTATTTCTTCCTCTGAACTGTTCATATGGAAATACAAAGGAAGCAAGTGACAGAAATGTAAAGCATTTGGCATACAATAAAAAAATCATAGGTTCAAATCCATGGGTGGTCATACTGTTTCTAAAGTTTCTTGGAAATACCACATTATCTACATTTATCTATATTTACCCAAGAGTAATAATAGGTACTAATAGGATACCAATGATTTGGATTTAATACTGCCTCTGCTGCACAGCAGCATGTCTCAGAAGGGGAGAGGGGGTGTAGGGATGCACCCCTACTAAATATTGCTGAGTAAGAAACCTGTACAGAAGTAATATAAAAACCATTTAATTCCCCAAGCTAAATTTTCCTTTCTATTTAATTGCTCACCCAATCAGCTCTTTAAGTCAATACTAATTAATATGACTGATTGAGTACTATCAAGGAGAGGTAGTGATGGCATATTTTGAACCATGAGCTTGGTGGTGTTCATTCTAACCACTAAGTTACACCTCTGCTCCTAATTTATCATTTACTGAGAGGCTTACCTTGGCTCTACTGGAGGAGATGTCATATACCTCATGATCATCATATTTATACCATTTCTTCGTCCTTGGATTTTTACACATGGCTGTGTCTGTAACAGAAACATGTGCAAAATATCAGATATTTGTGAAGAATTTGACAACAGAAAAAATACACTATATTAAAAGTTAAAATAGACTGGTTATTGCTAGCCAAGAGGATACATGAATTATAGTCTTATATCTAGTTATTACATACACATACAGCATATAAACATTTTGAAGTTTATTACTAATATTTGCCTATCATATGTAGCAAAGACAAGCCAAACCAGTCACTGCTTGCAAAAAATGTATTTTAAGATGAACGTAAAAATTGTAAAAGAATCATATAAATCCGAAATTTCGTTATAAAGTTACAAAAGCTGTTTGAAGAACTGTATTTGAGAAATCAGTCTTTGAATTTTACAATTTCAGACATTTCTCATGGAAGACACCATCACTAAACTGTTCCAAAAATGTTGTTTTAATGTTGGAAATGGAAAAAATAACATCATAGCATGATGTATAGATATATCAAGTTTAGTTTAGTGCAATAAAACAGATTTCAAAAAGGTTGACATTCCAAAATTTTTTGGCCTTTATCTCTGAAACACGATTTGCTAGGAGTAACTGGTTTGGCTTGTCTTTGCCACACAGATTGGTATCTAAAGTTTAATCATGGCTTGATTCATCACAGATTATTAAGATCAATGGACAAGTTGTAATCCTTTTTAAAGGGAATGGTCTTTAATCAGAATTTGCTTAATGTACTCACAATGTCCGCCATCTAAGCCTCCGGTGTGGCTGGACACTCCGTACAAGAAATAGCTACAATTTACTTTGGGTCCCACAGTGTGAGGTATAAGGTCCAAGCCTGTTAATGGGAAATCTATGTTGGTTTGAAGCTTTTGCCGCCAACGTCCTTCAAAGTAAAACCTGCAGAAGACAGAATAGAAAGAGAATTGCATTACCTTGATTTGTCCCAAAAGAAAATGTTGTTGAGAGGAAAAAAAATCTGAGTGCTTTTAGGTATATAAACACAGAATTTTTCTATTTATGGGATAAATTGACAAAATCAATGGGTTGTGGTTCTTAATCCAAAGCTGGTAAAAAGTTTGTTGTTTCCTTAGGCAAGGTATTAGAGTATAAACGGTACAGTAAGACTTGAATGTTTTTATGTTGAATGAATATGAGGAACTTTACAGTGCCGGGCCCTTACAGAAAAAAATTGCTCAGAGCACTTTCACCACAAAAAAATGATCAACAGTTCCTGCACACTTAACAATATATTTAATTAATCACGAAAACACCACCACTCCACTCACCCCGACCCCCACCCCCAAAAAAAGGTATAATATCAGTCTCTGTGTTACGATTTGGAATACTCACAAGGGAGATATCATACTTACCTCTTTAGGTGGATAATAAGGACTGGGGGTGTCCTCCAAATTGTTATAGTTTTAATTGAGTTACGTTTCACCCTGCAACGAGTACACTTTACCGCATTGTCACCAGTCAACTTCTCAGGCTTGGAGAAATGATCTAGGCAATCCTAAGAAAATATGAAAAAAAAAACCAAAAAAACAAATAAAGGTCAAGGAACTACAATATGAACAGAGTACCATAAAGTTGTTACATTTTTGTTTTTAATTACTCTGTTCATGATAATTGAATACCATACAAAATTGTTTTGAGTGAGTCAGCCAAGTGTCAGTGTTTGTGTATTTGTTGACACTCCCTGATCTCCCAACAAGATGCGCCTAGTGTAGACGTTAGTTTTAAATGGGCCTAGAGGTCTATAATTTCAATGTAAATTGATTACAGTGTATAAACCTATCCTATAAACTTGCAGCTTAAAAGCAGGATAATATAGAGATCTACTTATACATCTTGTCTGTACTCCCAGAGGAGTGATTGTTGTGTAGACTATAGGGCAGATGTTTACAATACCATATTTTCAAAAAAATCAATACTTTATTCTGTCCAGTATACATGCATACAAATACATGCATATGGAAAAACGATAAACAATAAAATATTTTACATAACAAAGGTGACCCCGCTTTCCAAATTGCTTTAATCACACGTAATGGTCATTGAGCGCTGTAACTGCCGCCGGGATAAAACTGTTTAATGATCTTTAAGTATACTTGTTACAGCAATACACTCTATGCTTGTAGTCACAGTATATTACAGGTGGCTGTGTGCTCATTATTAAGTGTTGTTGGAGCATATATTAAGGAGTAGAGTTAAATAGCTTAGTGGTTAAGATGGTTAACTTTTATCCCAGGGTCCTGGGTTCATTTCCTCTTTCTTATGACCACAATCAACTCCACTCCCTAGGCCTCAATAATAGTTTATAAAGCATCATTCCATCCTGTAAGTGGCGAGTGTACTTGCTGTTGGATGTGAGGGAAATAAAATAAAAAATATAACATCTTACTGTTAATGAGCACTTGTTACTCTTAGGTATAGGTAGTGACAGGTACATGAACGTATCAAACTTGACCATTATGTTCAAGCATGTTTCGCATTGCACTGTGGACTTGTACTGTCCCTGGAAAAGTTCCACGCAGATAGACTGGTTGAGGCGCTTGTAGTTGTCCCAGGCTATCTGAGCAGCCTTATTATCCGGTAACTTATTGTCCTTCTCTTCAATATACTCCCTCTTCTTCACCTTATTAATTAATAAAGTGTTCGTAATGAACAAATTTACTAAATATTTGCATAATAAAAATATAAAGCTGTGTCCAGGTCATCAAATTTTTGTTGAAAAAAAAAAACCAACCTGTTGTATGCCCATATCCTGTTGTATGCCCATATATAGTCACGACGTGATGTCATCATGACCATATTTAGGCACATCACATGCTTTTATCATATAAAAATTGATAGTCTGTACAGGGCCTAAATTAGTATTCATTTGAAGAATAGGACAAAAATAAATCTTTTCCTCCTTAACACACAAATGCCTAAATAATATTATGCTAATTTTCTTTGCACAGATGGTAATTAATTTAAGGTTTGTAAATCAGCAGTAATTAAATTGTTTCAGTCTGCATTTCACTAATTACAATTAGTTCATGAAGAGCATCTTCTGTATATGTTTGTGTGTGATTTTGTGGATACTGTGGTTAAATCTGTTTTTTTTCCCCCTGTAAATTTAAGACTATTTTATTCATTTTTGACTTAGTCTTTGTACATTTTATTTCAATTTAGCTCTGTGCTACCATGATATTTTGATTTTCTGAAATAAAGATAAATTGATATATGTTTTTGAAAAGGGACCACCAATTTCTGTTCATTATTGTTATATCTTTTGATCTGTTACCCAAAGAAATAAATAACAATAACACGGATCTATTGAAAACTACAATAAATTAACATGTTCCCTGCTAGGGAAGTGAGTTCATGTCCAACAGGATTCACTCAGCGCCAAGGATGTGAGTTCACATCCACACCTGTCCAAACATACCACTTTTGTATGGCACGTAAACTTGCTGGCATTGGTCTCCAGAACACGACCTCTCACCCGGGATGTTCAGGGGAAGAACCCGGAAGTAATAATCTAAAAAAAGGCTTGGCAGTCCACCGTGCTAAATCATGTAAACCACATGTTAACTTACTCGGTTTAAATCTTCATGCAATCCATCCATCAAGAAGATTAGAAACTCCTGTGAGTCATGGTGATGGCCTATATTCTGGTTGAATTGTGGGACATACTTAATGACCGTGTTGGAAAGATCCCGTGGAGAAATAGCTCGGTACTGACCACACCACAGAGCCCGCACCACCACTGCATAATCCTCTGCCACTTCTCCCTTCCGTCCCAAGACATTCTCCCTAGTGAAAAAATAAACAGGATAAAAATGCATAAGCTGTGTGACAATACGTAAAACAGAGCTATAGCTTGGTGGCTATGGTGTTTGCATTCCAATTCCATGGTACTGGGTTTTAATAATTTAAACAAAAGTTCCACTTCGACCACACGCTCAGGATTCATAAAAAGACACAATAATAGAAGAATTCTAAATTATTATAAACATCTACACTCACAAACATATTACAATAATATAACATGCACAAGAATGCTAGTTGTGGGATAACATGCCTCGTATACTACAAAGTTAAGCAAGTTAAGCTATACATTGAATAGCTTCCCCCCCCCCAAAAAAAAAAACAAAAAAAAAACAGAAAGAGACAGGGAGCATGGTATTCTAAAACAAGCTAATTATCTGTTTAGATTCCATGTACCATGTATCTATGTTGAAGCATCCCTTACACACACCATTACCACCCACCTAACCCCCTCTGTGTTTCTACCCAGATCTTTCCCTTGATCCATCCCAGTAATGTACCTTTTACTGTATACTTTTACTGTAAATTACTAACCTATTAATGTCTCTTTGATAGATATTTGAGACAAAATAGTCCGTCAGGTACTTGGTATTACTCAAACACTGCACGACACTATTCATAAAGCATGTGTTACCAAGATTACGTAAACCAGTTAAGCCAGGTCCCTGAAAGAAATTAAAACCAAAGTAAATATTAAAACATCTTCTAGTGTAATAAATTGAACCAATGTATTGTGGTGCTACAAACTTTTCCATAGTATAGTCTCCTTGCTTATGTAGATTATTATGTCAATATGTGCAGCAAGTATATTTATACTTTGGCACGGGCGCTCTGCAGTAGAACTCTCAACACTTAATATTCAACTAGTGCGTCACACAACAGGCCATTTGTGTTTGGGTACATTGGCTGTACAAATTCATATTAGCTAGTTTTACAGACCCAAAGACAGGACTAATGTCAACCAAACGTATTGACGTTTGTGTGCAAAGAAAGAAATTTTCTGTTAGTAAACAAAACCTATTATTACGTGAAACCTAGCAACTCTTTGTATTACTGTATGTCAGTTCAATGTATCTAACAGCCCCCTAAATTGTATTAAGAAAAATTATTGTATTATATTGTTGATACATTATTTTTATTATTATGAGCATAGCACCAGTAAGATTTTATGAGAGTGCAATTTCCAAACAACTTGAGGTCCATATTCTCAAAATTTTCTCAGCCCCAACCATGGTGTAGGTGAGGTGGTGTGCACTCTCATGCACCCCCTACCACCAAATCCTTCATCTGCCCCAGGATTAACATCAGATGATAAGGTGTACAGCAGGTCTATAAGCACTTTATTCTCTAGATGTTATTCAGACCCTAGTATTTTGCACAGTATTACATAACCTTCAACCATTATTCTGGATATAAGGTTGTTTCCCCCAAATCCTATTCACCTTTGTTCAATTAAACATTTTGCCTGTTCCTCCAAGTAATTTTGTAATAAGCCATTTAGAACCAAGCTTTAACAATGGGTCACTGAATTCTGAAACATTTTTTTCTTCAGAATTTTAATGCACAGTACGTAAACAAATTATGATTATACAATGTCTACTCCCAGAGTTAATTTAGTGAATTATAGATTTGTAATTGTGTTCAGCGCCCTCTATCATAGATCAGCTTCATAGAAACATCTAAGGTTGTCTCACTTTCAAATAGGGTTGAACAACCTGAGTTGAAATTTAAATGGGTATACTGAGACAGACTGCTATATTTCATCTTGCTTTTTGATTGAATTCTATAATAAAAATTTACTTACCATTCCCCCATAGGTAGCTGCTAAGTTACGATTACTTTTCATAATTTTATTGGAGTCTTGAATACGAGTTGTACTGCTGTGATTATATGAAAGACAATTTTCGAAATTTTTTACATAATCAAATAAAATTAAGATAGCAATAATAAAAAATATAGCATTAGATATTTAAGGAATACCATTTCTAGGGAGTGCTTTTCTATCAGTCAAAAATACCTCTTTCCCAAAGGTAATAACCACCATAGAATACAAAAACAACAAAACCAGATTAAATACTTTGAACTTTTACAAATAAAACCTTTGCACTTACCTTAATGGTTTTATACTTCGATCAAAGGCTGGTACATCCACAGATTTGCTTTCTTCATTGAGAACCATTTGAGCAATATTTGGAGATGACATGGATTGACTCAGTTTAGGCTTAGGTTGGTCTTTAAGAGGCGCTTTAGTGGAAGTAGGTTTGTCCTGCTGGGGCAAACTACTAAGAGTGGGCTTGTCCTGAAGGGGTGCTTTACTAGGGGAAAACTGGTCTTGAACATTTGGTTTTTTGGGGGTAGGCTTTTCAAGAGAGGAAACTTTTGCAGGAATATATTGAGGGACACTGCTTGGTTTAAGTTTTGTGCCTGGGGGCTCCCAGCATGTTGTTTTAGTGTTATGGTTAATATAATAGTATTTCTTAGATTTTTCATCATATCTTTTTTCCCAATTTGGTGGTAGTTGTGGGTTTATAAACCTTTGTGCATTTTCTTTGGCTTTCATTTCCTCGAGTAGTTTTCGTTCGTTTTCTTTCAACATTTTTCTTTCATTCTCCAGTGCCTTAGATTTTTCTTCAATTTGTTTCCGTTCGGCCTCCATCTGTATTCTGTCTTTCTCCATTTGTTGTAACATTGCATTTAATTGCTCTTCCATGGCTTCCAATTTCTTTTTCTGCTCAATATTTTCAGAGCTTATCTTTGAATTCCGTAGTTTTTCAAGGTCCATCCTAGCCCGCTTTTCCTTATCCTTGTGCAATTTCAATTTGTCTTCCTGTGTTTGCATTACTTCATCAACTTCAGCCACCTCTGGTTTTCTATCTATGGTTTCAGGTTCCTTGTATTCTGGTGGTTTGATGTCAGTGATATCTACTGTTAAGTTGCTTATTGGTTTTTTATCCTCTATGGGTTCTGTAGTTCCCAGACTTGGCTTTAAAGCTCGATTAAATTGCGGCATGGAGGACTTTGTTTCTTGAGAGGAAGCAGACTCTGTCTTCTTGACCTCAGCTGCACTACCTTCCAGAACATCTCCGGCACCTGAGACAGGTGGTAGATTTCCATCAAACCTTGTAGTTCCATTTGACGATATGGGTTGTAATGGTTTACTCTCTGTACTGCTAACAATAGGCTTAGGTGGCTCACTGCCATTTACTTTTGATTTGTTTGTTGGCTTAGGCTTTGATGACCTGTCAAAAGCAGGGATAGGCCTGTCGTTCAGTCCATTGTTCACTGTATCAACTCCATTCATGTGTGATTGACCATTTACAGAAGGCTGTGGTTGTTTTGGTTCTTCATCTTCCAGGGATGGAAAATCAAAATTCACTGAAAAAGAATTTTTTTTAGAAATAAAAGTATAAATAGAGTTGTTAGTGAACAAAAAAATGATGGAAAATGTCAACGCTGCCCTAATATTTACATCTGTGCTGTCAATCAAACTGTCATGTAGACATTAACTCGCACATTAAAAGATGAGATTATTTAGTCCGTCAATAAAAAAAACTAAGATTGATTGATTTTGAAGTGGTTCTGAAAGTTGCCTTAATTCCTACTTTAAAAAGTGCTGCATTTTGAAGGGTCAGAATGTAGTAGGATGCTATGACCAGTCAATTATGTATTTACTTTTGTCAAGGATGTCAAAGAACTGGAAAGAATGACACCTAAACTAAAGATGTTTTATTGCTTACATCATTACAATGAAAAAAAATCATATTTTCTTCATTCATACAAGCAAATGCTTAAAAAAAAAAAAAAGAAAAGGGAAAAATAAAAAAAAATTAAAGAAAAAGAAGAAAAAATCCAATATTTTTTAAAGCATAAGGAAATGAAAATGCAGAAGAGATTCATATTACAATGATGATTCTGTTGGTTTTGATTTAAATACCATTGAGACATTACCCTTTGCAAAAGGTTTTTTCTTAATCTTTGTTATGATTTTATTGAATAAATAGATATTAACGTCTGTGCCAATATTTGTTCATACTGTACTGACGATCAAATCAAAGGTGATGTAAAGTGATACAGTTCATTCTTTTTTGTGGTTTCACTGTTTGAATCCAACTGTTTCACACTGTCATTGCTTTTTGTGAATTTTAATATATGTAGACAAAATAAATGAAATAAAATAAATTTGTAAATGATAAACATATAAAAAGGAAATACATTAATATAGCCCTTAATTCAAGAAAGCTTCAAAGGGCTGATAGGTAAAAAATACATAAGAATAAATATTGTCAGGCGAATGCTGGCTAACTTTATAATTTTTGTGTTTTGAATAAAAAAATAAATAAATAATATTTCTTTCACAAAGTCAAATATACTTGCAGTTAAATTTTACAGAACAGAACATAACTTTTAGTCTAATGCTTTTTCCACCTACTGTATCATGTTTTCTGTGACAAATATCTATGTTTTACCCATATAATTGGCATGATGATGTCATATCACACCTTTATATACTGTATATTTGTACAGAAACTTGATAGCATGAAATATTTTAGGAGCAGAGATGAAATTTACATAGGGGCTAGATTGAGGTGAGCAAATTTTGAAATATATATACTATATTAAAAAGTAAGCACTACTTAAGTTATGCAATACTGACCATTAATATGATTAAAAGATTATCGTGGAATTTCTATAACTTCTATTAATCACCTCCCTTAAAGAATTATCACTTCTCGTGCCTGCTAGCGAAAATCCTTTCCTTTAACACTATTTCTAAACTCTGTTATGAGAGTATTCCACTTTTTTTCAATTCAAGGGTGTTCCCATAATAGAGTTTTCACTCTATTAATCTAATTGTCTTGTGACCATTTGGAGGAACAGATCACTCCATAATAATCTCATGATTGAGATAAATGTACATTTTCAAAGATGACATTTCTAGACTAGCTGGACCCATCCATCATAAACATGTCAATATCTCCTTGAACCTAGAGTGTGGGATCCAAAGACACAGATATTTGGTGACAGAGCACTCCTAGGTCAAGCTCTCCCACTAATATGGAATCAGTTACCAAACCCCACACAGAGTGCTGAATCACTGTATTGAGAAACATTCGACAATTATCTGCTTCAAAAGGCCTGCAGTCAATCAGATATTTTTAAAATACCAAGATACTGATATTGCTTGAATTCAACTTTAGTATTATCCTAATAATAATAATTTAAGCCAATATTGTTTTTAATGGGGGGGGGGGGCATGATGCCCTTCTGTGGAGTGGCGGTGTATTAATTTATGCATATTCTACAGAGGCATCAAATAAATTTGTATTTCATTATCTGATGAGTTTGACATAAAATATTATAAATATTTGGCAGCCTGCAAACAAAGCAGTAATACAAAAACAACAAAAGAAAAAATACCACCCAATACAACAGACACCCCCAATCTCTCATTTCAAATGTCTATATCAGGTAATTTAGTAGTTTGTCCTTCTTCCAATCTGAGGGAAGTGAAGTTATCATGGAATACAAAATACTAAATAATATCTTACATAGGTTTGCAGTGGACTTGAGAGAGCTGCTTCCATCCATGACTGGAGCAGTGACTTTAGCATTTGTTGTAAACATTGGATAGCGGAGCAACCAATCATCGTAGCCACCTTCTAGTTTTAACGGTTCACGTTTAAGTGTTACGGTTGAATCCCACTGGAAATCAGATATATATATATATACACATAGTAACAGTAATAATGATAGTAGCACCAACAATAAAAACAATACAATGAGGATAATAAATATTTATATCATCTGTAACAGTTTAACAATAATATGGAAGGCATGGAAGATAATATGGTAAAGAGAGGGAGAAGAGTAAAAAGAAGGAGTGGATAAGAGAGAGGAAAAGGAGCAAGAGAAGAGAAATCAAAATGGAAAACAGAAAAAAAGGAGGAAAGAGGGTAAGAAGATGAAATAAAAGGAAAAAAGAGAAAAATGGAAAGGAAAGGTGGCAAGGAGAAAAGATGGAGAAGAAAAAGGGACAAAATGGGACGAGATGAGAAAAGATTGAATAAATTAGTAATGAGGAAATAGGGTGATGTGAGGGGAGTAAAATTAGTAAAAGGAAGATAAGCAAGGTGGTGGAGGAGGGGACTACTTTGGATTTGTTATTAGTTGAATAATTTAGAGAATGAAAATAAATGAAAAGATATCATTTTGTATTATATAATGTATTATACCTTATATAGAGCATCCTTAAGGGAGTCTAAAGAGGACTTTGGTGCTTCATCCCAGTTTAATAGAATGATATAATCCACAGATCCCCTCTTGCTCCATAGGTGTCTGCTCTCTGGTGGTAGACCATTCTCAATGACAGCAACAGTGCACCTAAATTCAAAAATGGAAAGTATCATAACATTACATATTATGTCATTTACTTCATTTATGAGCAATGTAATGTAATTAGATTTATATACCAAAGCACTTGATGAGTGCACTACAGTAGCTGATACAGCAAATTCCTTCACCCCTAAAGGTCTGGAGTCAGATACTCTCATCTGCCAACAACAGGGCTGTTTATACTGGTACACCGGGGTAACCCCTTACTCATCTCGAAAGAGGTACTTGGTTATCTATATATGTAGTGTTTTTATGAGACAATTGTGTACATGGCAACTGTTTATAGCCCTTACTTGGGAAGACTTGTTCCACGACCAGAAAAATACCTATAGGACGTGGCAACCCTTCCTGAACTGCTTGGCCATTCATTATGGGTACAGTATAAACATAAACAGATATATTAAAATCATATTGGCTTTACTCATACATGAGTGATGGTTATAGTAGTCATAAACTCTGAGATAGTTTTAGGCTAAAAATATTGTAAAATTATTTCCCAATTGACCAAGTGATTATTATTTCTAATGTTCACTGTGTTTTTACAGCACAACAAGTTATCATTGTAATGTAAAACATGTATATGAAAATATTCTGAACTATAGGTATACATTGTTCTTGTATATTTTAGTTTTTACTTGGAACCTAGGTTTAAATAGTTGCCTATGCCAGGACTTACATTCTTACAAATAAAAAATTAGGTTCAATTGCTACTCGCAAGCTTCATTCAGGACTAATTCAAAGCATATCAGGATTAATATATAGAACTATATTTCATTTTTAAAAGGAGGTTAAAAAGTGATTATATTCGCTAATGGCAATACAACCCACTTTCTAAAGACATTTCTGCCTTGCTTTGTGTGACAAATCTGTTTTCATTGAATTTTTTAGAGTGATGGAATAAATGCAATGAAGGCAATACAGATGATTGAGAATGAACATGTTTTCTCAATTTAAATATAAAATATTTTTCAGTTAATAAAATCTATGTTAACATTATGTCATAATGGTGTACAAATACAGGTATTTGAAAAGGAAATAATTAATAAAAGCTGTGCATAAGATTAACATGTATTAATAGCTACATTGAGTCTGTTAAGAAGGTACTCTTTATGTGCTGAATAATATCAAGATGTCAGGGTTCTTTGAATGGGATCACATGACCTCAAGTCCTCAAATACCGTATGTCACGTCACGTAACTGTCATGTGGGAAATGTACAGCAACATCCAGCTTCATATTATTTCAAAATAAAAATCAGAATGGACAATATTAAGTACAGTAATGTAATTCAATGGTCTTTTGGTAGTTGTGAAAGTAGGCCAGTTAGGATGACCCCTGGGGCAGCTGCAGTGTGAACCTACTCTTCCCTGGTGGTGAAATGGAATGACACAGTGGTTATCGCCATTTTAAGACAATATCTATATATTCTTGCCAATGCTCTTTATATTATGCTTATATTTTCATTTGCAAAAGGTTTGCGTGCTTAAAAACTGCTATTTAAAGGGGGAATATCTGATCCGTATGTAATATGTCTGTACTTGAAACTGAAAGATTTTCATATTGTAATTCTGGTTGGAAGCATATTATTCTTGCAAATAATGGGAATGATGGTTTATTCACTCATAGCAGTAAAATACATGGTTTGAAATCAGAGTTGGTTGGAAATTAAAATATTAGCATGACAATAATATTGATAAAAACACTTGACCATGGATAAAATGTTTAAAAAAATGTTCCTAAAAAAATAAGGAGGTAAGAATATGAGGACCAGTCATGCAGTACATTACCACAAAGACAGATAAAGTTTGCTACATTTCAAAATATCACATCAGACAAAAAAAATCTCAAAAACTACTAAAAACTGACCAGGGACAATAGGAAGGATGAGTAACTACCATGACTTACGTAAAATAAAACCATCTTTTTTTAATTTGTAAAAAATGTCAACGTAAAGTACAATCCATGACAAAGCATTAAACGTCATTCTATCCCAGCAACATCCAGGGCCCACAATGTAGACCTATCTGACTGGGTAAATGCCATTCAATATAAATTGGATTTCCTGGAGACAGTTTCAGTAAGACATCATTTATCTGACTTATTTTCAAAAAATATCCAAGCAAAATAAAATGATTGTTTACTTCCTTTACTAGACAAAGAAATCTACACCACTTCAATATTATACTACAGTATGTTACATCTCTGAATAGTCACATGATGGACAACTTTCAATCAGTGGATGCAAGGTTAAACAACTTTTGATAGTTAAAGATGGACAACTCTTAATGGTTGCATGGTTGACAACTACCCATTATTGTATGGTGGACAACTCTTGATAGTTGCATGGTGGACAAATGTCCATGGTTGCATGGCCTACAACTCATGATAATAAATGATGCACAACTTTTATTTAAAGTGTTGTTTTGCCCTACCTGATGGGTTATCACACCGCATACTCAGTACAAAAAAAATTTGCAAGTGATTCAGGTAGGAATCGACCTCCATATAATGTAAGTAGCCTGGTGTCATATATATAGCAACTGTTGATGGTGTCATGGTGGACAACTCTTGATGATTAAATAACGGAAAATCTTGATGGTTGCATGCGGAACAACTCGCGATGGTTGCATGGCGAACAACTCTTGGTGATTGAATGGTGGACAAATCTCAATGGTTGAATAACGGAAACTCTTGATGGCATGGGGGACAACTCTCGGTGGTAGCATGGCAAACAACTCTCGATGGTTGAATAACGGAAGCTTTTGATGGTTGCATGGAGGACAACCCTCAGTGGTAGCATGGCAAACAACTCTCGATGGTTGAATAACAGAAACTTTTGATATTTGCATGGGGGACAACCTTCACTGGTTGAATAACAGAAACTCTTGATGGTTGCATGGGGGACAACTCTTGATGGTTGCATGTCAAAAAACTCAGGATGGTTGACTCTTGATGGTTGCATGGGGGACAACTCTTGATGGTTGCATGTCAAAAAACTCAGGATGGTTGCATGTCAAAAAACTCAGGATGGTTGAATAACGGAAACTCTTCATAGTTGCATGGGGGATAACTCTCAGTGGTTGCATGGGGGACCCAGGGGAGGATCCAGGGGCGGATCCAGAGATGTCCAAAAGGGGGCCGAAAGTGGGGCAGATTTGGACAACACTACCCTAGGGGCCCGAGGCATGCCCTCTTGAAATTTTTTTTTTTCTGGACACCCGAAAATAACCCCTGAGGCGATAATATTTTTCTTTTTCTTTCTTTTTTTAAACTTTCCAAATAGGGAGGGGGGGGCGCCAGGACCAACCTCACTGATTAAATAACAGAAACTCTTGAAAGTTGCATGGGAACAACTCGATGGTTGCATGGCGAACAATTTCAAGCTTTGTTAAATATGTTTGTATATTAATAAATATTAAATAAAAAAATATTTATGTCCACAATGTGTACTGTAGTTGATGTTGAGTTCTATTTGGTCTTCTGTTTATAAATTTCTAAATTAAGTTATATGATATATTGTGTTTATAATATATTTGGAGAAAAAACATCAAAACTGGAATACAATTATTGATTAAAAAAAAAAACTGTCAACATAATTTAATTAAGGTGAATACTGTCAATACTAAAGCTGATGGATGAGTCAGACTTATGTAAGAAAAGACTGGGGGTCAATCAAATGAGAGATGACACTAAATATAGGATTTAATTAAGTAAAAGCCAGGTGATGTCCTGAAATGTCCCCAAAACATCTATGAACATGTATCTAGGCCAACAGGTGAATATCAGATACTTTCCTGGGACTGTACCAGACCACAACTGAAGTTAAGTTAATGGTTACATTAAATGGTACAAAACCAATTACTTTGCTAAAGCCTATTTTCCACTAGGCAAATTTATTCGCGCAAATCGAAAGTGTTGGTTCGTACGCACGCACATTCCCATTCCTATCAGAGTTTTTGCGAAGCGAAAACATGCGCAACCAATCAGAGCTCAGGAAGCAAACTGATGCTTTGATTCGCGCGAATAAATTCGCCTAGTGGAAAACTAGCTTTAGAAGAGATGCTACAAAAAAAAGCAAAAAAACATAGCTTTGGAACTTCATAATGTCATACCACCACATAAAAAGTAAAATGGTACTAAACCAACTCTCGTTGATATGCATACCCTAGAAACATCCCTTCGTGAACTACACAGTTAAATGGACAGTATCAAACAACTACATAAAGTTAAAACAACAAATACCAAAAGATACTACCAACTGCTAACAAGTACCATATTTCCTGTACCATACAATCACTAAAAAAAGTTGATGTACCATAAATCCTTGAATAAGCGCCGTGGTGCTTATAAAACTTTTTAGAGGCTTCAGTGTGGCACTTATTGTAGAGGGGCACCTATTCGAGTGTAGCGCTTATTAAAAAATATTGGCGTGGCGCTTTGCATGCCCGTTCCCATGTTACCTATCACACGTATTCCTGTAGTTCGGTAGGTCTATCACATGGAAATTAGGGTTATTTGATCGCATTTGCGATCTGATTTTTTAAGGTGCGACAAGGAATTCAAATTTGTTGCGCTCAGTGCGACATTTGATAGCGCGAGTAGATTGTGTAAGCGGTAGGAAGATGGTTTTCCTCCAAATCCCAATTATTTACAACTTGTACAGCCGATTATTTTCAGTCAGGCAGTACGCAAATCATGCTATCATTCATTTTACATGAACAGTACTGTATCAACCAATCAGCACGACCTAGACTGTTAAAGTGTGATGTCGTACACTAAAACTGTGTCGATGTGCGCTCATCTTCATTCTTGGTAAATAAGCGATCTCCATCAAAGCGAAGGAGGCTGGTAAAAATCGGACTGCAAGATTTTTTACTATTTTATTGAGTGTTACTCTTACCAGTACCTCCTCGTAATTGTGAACGTTTCCTTAACATATTTGTTCATAAAATAGAATATGTACCGAAATTTCAAACAATCGTATATTGACTCATACAATGTAAACGGGACAGCATCAAGCAATAATCAAAATTTAACACTAAATAGATTGTAAATAAATACATTTAGGCATCATCTGGATGATTATATTCAAAGTACTATTAAGGCAGACATCTTTTTTTGAAAACTAAACGAATTACCTAAACCTCATAGATTATGAAATAAGATTACACTCCTTCAATCACATGGCTGATGATAACCTCAGCCAGACTTCATGGAGCAGATATAGTTTAACAACATGCATCTCAATGAGCAACATCTTGAAAGTTATAAAAAACAAACAAACAAACGTAGGTCTCGCAGCAAATTTTGAAACCTGTAGCTAGCAGCTAGCGGTGAGCAAGGTTCCTAAGTATAGCCTACGGTTTTCAGTCCATGTCCTTCTCAGCAGGCCAGAACTATATACTAACTGTTTTAATTCAAGTATAGGTAGCCAAAAGGGAGCTGGTTAGCTTGTTTGTTCTAGTCGAGACATCCGCATCTTAAATTTTGAAAATTTACCAAGACTGATTAATATGCATGAAGTTAGCCAATCATGTGATTTACAAAATCAGTCATGCATACGATATCCCACATCAAATTTGATGTGGGAAATCGTACGCATGAATCGTTTGCCCAGGCCCTAATTCTAAAAAAAAAGAAATCGAGTATGGGACGCCAATTAAATTAGGTATGGCGCACACTAAGTGCAATAAAGAGTGAGTAACCTAAAATTAGGGCCTGGAACCCAGGCTAAGGCATTCGCAGTGTTAATGCGATTCTGCGGACCTATTTTCTGGAAATTTTCTGCACAAATGAAGAAAAATACTGAAAAACTTAAAGGAAGTGTAAAGAAAATATAATTAATGTTTCAGTAATAATAATTAATAATTTTATAATCAATATATCAATCCACTTAACTGTAGATTTTTGCACTCAATTGACTAGACAGTTCAGCTGCTCATGTTTTTCTTTTTTATATTGTGTATATCTGTTAATAATTAACAGAAATTTGTAATTTTCTTAGAAATATTCCTAACAATTGAAACTTTCCTTGAAATACTTTCCCTTTCCTTCAAGTTAGTTAGGTTGAATTTTTAACCTTGTACCTTTTTTCTTTATTATCCCTTTAATATCTATTTTCTTTTTAATATTGTTTCATCCTTTTTCCTATTTCGTTTTTGATACTTACCTTTCTTTTAGTTTTTTCATTGTCATTTTCTTTCCACCACTTTACTTCTTTCTTTTTTTGCTTTCCGTCCTTTTGTTATTTCTTATTTATTATTTTTCTTGTATTTTTTTTTCAATTTTTAAAATCTTTTTTTTCCCCAATTTTTAAAATATCTTCTCTTTTTTTTTTCATGTCTTCTTTCTTGCATAATAATCCATGGGGACAAAAAAATTACTTGTGCTACCAAATTTTTTAGGGGGGTGCCAGAAAATTTTGGCAGTGCTATCAAGAAAAAAAGTTAATTTCCAGCCCTGCTGCGACAGTCAATGTATTTATGGGCATAACTAAATAATATACATTCTCCAGTGTCTGTCTCTTATACACATCTAGATGTGTATAAGAGACAGGTGTAATACTATCGTACAGGTATAAGTTATTGAATTTTAATCATATTTTTACATTTATCTCAATTTGGCAATGTACATCATCTGATTTTTTTTAACTACATCAGAAATTTGAATGTTATCACTATCGCATGTATTTTGATGACATAATCCAAAACATGAATCAAATTATTGAAGACAATCTGTCCGCATCAAAGGAGCAAATTAACAAACATGAGGGGCACAGATTGGATGTATTCTGACAAACGAGTCCTGTTTAAGAAGAAGCTGGGGTCAATAATGAGAGATGACACTAGATATAGAAATGAATGAAGTAATTGCCAGGTGATGGCCTGAAATGTCCCCCAAAACATCTGTATATCTAGGCCAAACAGGTGAACATGCATACCAAATAGACAATCACAATTCTAATGCCATTAACAGGACAAAGGATCACAGCTGAATAAAGCTTTTATATGAGTTAAGAGAACATGGTGAATATTTATGAATGCCTTATATGAAGTATATTATATGCAAACTTCTTAATATCGAGTTAAAATTTGTTGTTTTAGTTGTTCCTTTTTGATGGCAGCATGAAATTGCAGTTTACATCTATAACAGGTCTGTGTTACTTTAAAAAAAAAAATTTATACTTTTATTATTAAATGAAAACAACGTTTAAAATTAGTATCCCAATAATGTTCTAAGTTTTAAATTTTGATTTTAATATGAAACAATGCAACATACTGTGAAGTCCCCAAACACAATACTTTGTCATAGAAGTGCATAATTGTGTTAAGATTCTGCCAACTATATTCACACCCTTTCTTGAAACAGAAATTTGAATGATCGTAATTAAATACCGTATTGTCTCTAATAAACGCCCCCCGGGGGCGTTGCATTTTTTCAAATGGGGGGGGGGGCGTTTATTAGCGGTGAATTGTAAAATCAAAAATTACCTAAACAAGCTGCTTTAAACGGTCAATAAGTTGTTTATTTGTAGAGGAACAAGTTAATGTGCAGGGTATCTCCAGGCCTCCTGCTATTTTGCTGTTCCTTTGTTTGTTGCTGGTTATTTAAACATCAATAACTCCTTGTGTTCCAAAAAGAAATGAAATATCTTCGCGTTCTCTTGGGGTAAATGTCCGACGATGCAGTGCGGTGCTTCTCCTTTCACAACAGCCATCGCATGCTTGTCAAAAACATTGTTGGCCTCATGAACTAGCACCGCACCACCGCACACAAAACATCTGCCCTCAACTTGAAGAAACATTCTCACTACAGTATAGACTTCATTGACCAGACACCTTGAATCAAATCAGTGTCGAACACGCGACACACTAACAATACACGATTACCCGTCGTTTGCCGTCAGTTTGCAGCTTACCCTGTTTTTACAAGGCTAACGAAATACCACGAGAGAAACACAAAATAGGCCTAGGCCTAGTGATCGTGAAGTCAGTAAACATTAAACGTTTAGGGAAAGCTTTTTTGAGTAGTATTTATTTCATTTCATATCAAAGAAAGCAGCACACAGTACGGTATTACTCCTTGTTTGTCAACCTTTTTATGGACTACATACCCATGTTAATTGATTGAGCACTCATTGCAAAATGAAAAAAACTCAGAGGGGGCGTTTATTAGAAGAGGGTCGTTTATTAGAGACAATACGGTATGACCTGTATAGAGAACCAAATATAAAAACAACTAAAGTTAAAAAAATAGTTACAAGTTACATAGGTAAACTACATTAGTTGATAAACTATTACCAGTTGTTAAAAAATCTTCAAACATTACAAAATTAAATGTCAAAATAAAATAGACATGACAGAAATGATTAACTAAACAGACAAAACAAATTGTATTTTAACATAAAAGTCTTAAGTTCACAGGCAGACAGGGAAAAAAAAACACACCAAAAAAAAAAAGCAACTACTTCTGTCAGTGACAGATTGTGCGTGTCCAACCAATTACAGTGATGGATTGAAACCATGTGTTGAGTGCATGTGTTATGTTCTGACCATTCAGCTGCAGAGTACAATACGGTGCACGCACACATTGTCATCAATGTTGCGAGGAGCACTGACTGGCCCATGTCTATTAGACTTAGATTATAGTTTCCTGTAATGTCAAAAAGATTGAATATCATACCAATATTGTTGTCACACACATCTACTGCTGGGAGTTCCTCTTTGCTGCTTTCTTCACTCTCCTTTTCTGTTTTACTCTTCTCATTTTTCTCCTCCTCGTTAGCAAATCTTTCCTTGATCTCGTTTTCCTGCTTTTTATCTTCATATCTTGGAAATAAAGAACAGAATGCCATGAATGTTACTTTAGATACAGTATTTGCTACTTATCAACTTTAGATATTTACTACTAATCATTATTATTTTTACGATTATTAATCCTTACACTTCATCAAAGCTGAATTAGATTATAATTTCTTAATTAATAATTATCTATGATTATTATGAAAACATAGTATTATTATTATTTATAATTATTGTCATCAAAAAAATTAGTGTGTCTCAGTATTCCTGACAGCTGTATGAAAATATGTATTTCTCTTTAACACGTTCGCTGCCAGAGACGAGTATACTCGTCCCACAGGGTGTTACTGAGAGCGCCAGGGACGACTATACTAGTCAAAATCGGAGTAACATTCTAGCATTCATTACTTCTTTGTTATACATTGTAGAACCACAGACTTAACGGCTGGTAGTTCGGGGAAGATACACCTAGTTGATAACGTACAAATAACGTATAAATGTTGGTTATGTTATGTTGCTGGCAGTACACTCGATTGCACGAGTGGGGGTGCCCTCTAAACATATACCAACCCATGTAAAAAGTGGACAAGGAAACTTGCACTTGGCAGAAAAAAAAATTCCAGGGGCAGAATCCAGGGATGTCCAATAAAGGGTGGGGGGCCCGAAAGTGGGGTCGATATCCAGATAACACTACACTAGGGGTTCAGGGGCATTTGGTATCTAGGCGTCCCCGAAAATAATCTCTGAGGCGCCTTGGGCAATAATTTTTTTTTCTTTTTCTTTCTTTCTTTACTTTTTTTTTGCTTTCCAAAAGGGAGAACTGGGGGAGGGGGTCCCTGAATGCTGTTCCAGTGCCGGTGATAAGTTTACTCACCCCCTAATATTTTCCTGCCTTAGACACAACATTTTGATGATATATGACTAGATAAAATTTCCAAAAAAGTATGTTTGTACATGTAAACTTGTCTTGCACATGGGAAGGAACCTAAAAACAAGGTCTGACAGTCAATGTGTTAAATAAAAAATGGCTACCTGGTACTGAACAGGTGTTATGATTAAAGTAAGAAAAAACAATTATAAGAATGCCGGGGGGGGGGGGGGGGGGGGTTACGTCCTAAAGCTCTGTGAGTTCTTACATTGTAGCCCCCTTACATGAAATCTATTATTTCAATATTATACTGTAGGCCTATCTTGTTATAATAGCATTGGATAGAAAAATAAAGTTGATTTGATTCAAAAATCATCAATAGTATTAAAAATAAAACTGCTGGAATTGTTAATTATCAGCAACATTTTCACTCACTTTGTCTTTGCTGTACTCTTTACGCTTCTTAAGCCCCGTACACATATTCATGTATTTGACAAAAAGGACGTACGCACGCTCCTCATCGCTGTTGTTGCTGGCTTTAACTGCTTCACGATAAGCTTTCTCAGCAGTATTACATAGCCTGCAGTACATCAGAAATAAGATGAAAATCAGTTAAAAACTACCTTGCAGTTTGCTTTTGGAATTTGATATTATTTCTATTTACTTTTCATTTAAAAGAAATTATTTACATGTTTGTAAATTTTATTAAAGTGGGAACAAGGTGATTAAGAATGAAAATGCTGAGTGTTACTTCTGCACAAAGAATGGAAATGTTATCACCATGTGAGCCACAATTATCAAATATCACAAACCACTTTCTATTTGATCTAATGAAATAATACAACATTTTCAGTACGCTTCATAGTTCAAAATTGTAAAATGTACATTTATAGGTCTCTTATTTCTTTTCAATTCAAGAAATTCATATTTAAAAAAAAAATGGAATTAAACAATTATGATATTCACAAAAAAAAAATTTAATAAGCCAACACAATTATGTCATCATCTGTTTTCATATTACATTTTTCAGAACATTAACTCACACAATATTCATGTCAAAAAATTTTATAAATATTAATATGAGATATTTCTCTTTTTGTTCTTTACCCTTTGATTGATTTGATGTCATTGATGTTACATTCTCCTTTCTCATTGAGTTGTTCAAGACTGTTGGCAATGTACAAAGCCTTCAATTTTATCTCACCAGGCATCTTGCACACTTCAGGTTACAACATCTACAAAAAAATAGAACATATTCGGTATATTCCTTATCCATATATTGATAACATTTCGTAACAAAAGGTAGGGTACAACCAACTGAGAACTAGCAAAAAACAGCAATTTAGTACCAAGAGGATTCAAAATAGTTTTCACTCTATTTGCATTGGACTTATTTTGGTCAAAAGTACCAGAATGCAAGTTCAATGCAGATTGATTTAAATTGATAATGATGATAATTATTTATTCACTAACAAGAAAAGCATGAAAGTACTGGATACCAAGAAAGCAAAAAAAAAAAAAAAAACAACTTGTAATGAGGTCCCGGTATAAACTTATAATTATACACAAAATAAATCTTAATTTATGTACATGAACTACATAACCAAGAAATATGATTACAAAATAAGCTTTTCAAAAAATATGAAGAAAAACACTGTTTCACTAACAACGGATTCTATGTTTTATACGGTAAGTGTTGATTATCGATTCTTTCAACTTATAATTAAACACATGTGGACAGATGAGTTATATCTTTAATACAGCAACATCCAATATTTGGGTCCATAGAAATATTATATTAATAACACAGTTATCATATCATTCCAGTGTGAACTGCAAAGGAAAAAATATTTAGTCAGGTTTGTTTCCATGGAAAATCTATGATGAGACCAACCACTTACAAATAAGTCAAGGTTGACGTAAATACACCAATTATACAGGTTGTGTATCATCGGCCAACAAAAAATCAACAACAGGGCATGGGGTCACAGCACAAAAACTCTTCACATTTATTTCTTAGGTTTATAAACTAAAGAATAGCTTATCATTCATGACAATATCAATCTGTTTTTGTGACACTTTGTGACACATTTTGACACGAACAAGTGCAATTTCTTTCATCGATCCAACTGTACATCAATGAACCATAACATTTTTAGTATTGCTGCATTTATTACTATTAGGCATAGACTAGTTAGGCTAGATGAGGTCTACTGTTTATGAAATATATGTGAAAATATACAGTCTTTATAAAATATTGGCCCTACTGTATGTAGGCCTAGGGCCTAGCTTACAGTAGTTAGGACAGGGGTCGTTATAATGACTGGAGATCCAACGCTGTCCTCTAAACCGCAACCATAGCCTAAAGGCACAATAAGCCCATTAAGAACAAACGAAATGCCAATTACGAAGACCGTTTACAAGCGATAACGAGGTCTTTGATGTACTATCATACAGACCGGCTTTCACAGCGCAGCACCGCAGTGGGAGGCGAGGAAATAACAAACCAAGAGTCCGAGGTTGCTCCAATAGTAAAACCCTATGCACAGTTCAAACTTCATAGTTGAACCTTTGTTCTTTGGATGCTCTGTTGATTGGGATTTCGCGGCTTATATGTCAGCGAGAAAAGCAAAAAAATTTAATAATTTTTTAATTGTCCGTACTCATTATGAATGTATTGCTATCATTTATAGTGTCTATAATTTTTGAGGATTTTTAAGCAAGAAATTATAACACTTTCCTAAAGATTCCTAACGATGACACCTGGTGTTATAGGTGCATAAAAATGTGCCTAAGCCTATATTAATAATGAGTTTTAATATTTTATTTTATTATTTTCAGCCGAATTATTAGGAGTACCAAAATTCAAAGTGGAATAAGGAATGACGAGGATTACATCATTTAGTTGGTAACGGTACAACTAAAAGTAATAGTAAGAGGTTATCCGCATGGTATGATACGAATTGCAAAAAAATAAGCTTATTTGCATGGTATATATATTCAAATGGTCATAGTTAGGTTTAGGGATTACTCTAGTAATAAGGATAAGATAATTCTTTATTATTTAGGGCTAAATTGAAACAAAATAATAAGCCTGTGAAATAATCACAAAGCATAAAAATACTAGACAAATAAGTATATTAACACACATTGCAAATAGAACCATTTCAGAAGTCTGATTCTATATTGTTGTTAATAATATAATATAATTTTTTTAAATGCAGTAATGGTTAAAAAAAATAGTAAATTGAAAAAAAACCCCAAAAAACAATAGTATTAATAGTAATATCAATGATCATTAGCAGCATGGGTTTATTTTAATCACAAATTATTTATTATAATTCTTATTCTTTTATTTATATTCACTTATCTATTAAAATAGGGTAATGAAATTAATAAAATAAAAAAAAAAACAATAAATTCAAATAAATAAAAGAAAATAAAACTAAAAAAAAAAAAATCCATGACCATGAAACGAAACAGGGGTTGTTATGCCACAGCAATCGCATTTACACTTATCTGATCAATGCGCGCTATTTAGCCCATTGACAATCATTGGGTGAATATAATAAGACTATCGGCGCTTTTTCAAGATTGCGTCATTGCATGATCTTTAGATGCTGATTGGCTAGGTCTACCATGTGAATAAGAACGTATGTCTTATTCGCACGGTCTACCGTGCAAATAGCCTCTTCCTTCCAAAGTAATAAGGCCACGGGAACGAAAGTTGTAGGTTTGCGTCCACCGCCCGCATGCCTATAAAAGCTACCGCACGAAAATTTTCATTATTTTGAAAAGTTCATTATTTTGAAAAAAAATATACTTCGTTTTTAAAAAATGGACTTTCCAAGTCGTAAAACAGACAGAAAAACGATCTATTCATCACTGATCACTCGTCGCGAACACCGAGCGAAGGCAGGCCTGGCCACATCGCACCATGATCGCCGATCACTGCTGAGGTCATTTACGGGTCAAATCGATCTTTCTGACCAATAGGAAATCTCGTAATAAAGGGGTCTTAAATGTAGAAAAGGACTTGTTTTATAGGCTAGTGTACATTTATGACTGTAAGTAAGCATTGTTTCTTAGGAATAAATGTAAAATTACCAATGCCGCGGCTTGTGGACAGCATTTATAAAAAAAATAATGAATAATGAAAAATGAAAAAATGCCTCATGTGTTTTCAAAATTTTTCGGACGCAAACCTACAACCTACAACTTTCATTCTCGTGGCCTAATGTAAACGAGAATTCAACGTGCAAATCAATTAGCTTAATGATTGCCCTAGCTATGTGCCGGTCTGTAACATGGTACAAAGGAGCCCTGAGTTTGTTGGATCTCTAGTCACTATAACAACTGGTTAGGTTAAGTGTTTTAATGTTTACTTTAATTTGTATAAATAAATAATTTTGGCCTACTGTACACACACTGTATCATATACATTCTGATCTAATTTACGGTAGGCCTAAATCTTAATGCTGAATATGTTTACGAAGATTTCCAATATTCTTGGCTATATATGTATGCATAGGGCCTAAATAGGCCCGGGCTAGGACCTAGGCCAGGCAGTCGTCGAAGTTTGGCAAACGAAGTTAGGCAGGCCTATTTATAATACAGTATTATTTAACATTCAACCATGTCATGGGTCTTGTATGGGAGGAACCCAACTCTAGCTGTATTCCACATACAAAATCACATTTATGGTCAACAAAAAAAAAATATGACGAACTAAGAAATTAACATAGTATATAATGCTTACCTTCTGCTAAACAAGAAACCTTAAATCCTTGAAAATTGAATTGTAAAATCACCCAAACTCTTGTTACTTTTTGTGATGATAGTGGTCAATTGTTGTTGTTGCTTGAGTTGACCTCTCTGAGCGTCCTATGCACACCAATCCGAAATTCGCTCAAGTAATATAGTTCTACCCTTTTAAGAATAGCCAAAATTGGTTTCTTTCTACTAAATGTTGCAAAAACTTGAAATAAAATTTATAATGATCAAACTTGAAATATTTATCAAATAGAGTAATTTGCACAAATGATGATGATTTTAAAAAAATCAGGTTATTGATATTAAAATTATCATCCTGTGATCCGGTGATGACATGTATTTCCGGAAGACATTTTCTAACTTCCGTCGTGAGCTATCTTTACGAACATACGCATTTCATCTAATTTATTGCTACATTTTGTCCTCAGAGAGCAGGTTGCTTTGTGCATGTTTGAGTAGACGCTAATATACTGTATTTGGTAAGTTACTTTATGTTATTTTTCTTATTTATTTGTTGAAAATTAGATTAGACGGTGAAACGTTTTGCTTCCGGAGCACAACGCAAGGGCAGTATTTTGCTGTTTATCTGGCTGAGAGTATTATTTTGTATACAGCGAGAGAATTCACGTTTCTGGCAGATGTTAGTTGTTGACAAAACATTTAATTGAAAATAGAAGTTTACCAAATATAATATTTAATGTAGCAACAACGTTGAATACTTTCGAGTTTAGTTTTAATGTCCATTGTTCAGTTGTACATCGCACTCAATGTAGGCCTGTTAACAAAGTTCTGTGTGTGATGTTCAATTTCCCTATCACTATCCATCATGATCGAGCCATGAATGAATCCCTAGGCTCCTCAGGTAATGCTATGCAGGAAGAGCCCGGGGATCTCGAGCATCAAAACTCGGCATGTTACACAATACAATACCATGAAAAGTATCTCTGCCAAAGCCTAGGCTCCTTCCTAGTGCTACTGATACTGTATCTCCCTTATGCAAACATTGGTCATTGCTGTAAAAGTTACAAGATAGGCTAAGCTATCATATGAGTATTTTTGTATCCACATGTTTTTTTTAAGCAAATCAAATAAAAAATGTGAATATCTCGGCATAAACAGCCGCACTGAACAAAAGTAAGCCTGCTGTTCGACGCCACCAAACCAGTGTTGTATTAAGTAACCATTAAAATCCATAGGGTAAACAGTAAATAAAAAAGAAAAATGGGTTGACAAACTACAAATTTTTCATTTATTTATTTTTTAAAATTGTATGCTTTACAAATTTTTCTTGATGTTTGAAGTCTAAATTGAAATGTGTATTAAAATGTATGATTTTTCATACGCATTAAAAACACATAAAAAGTGATGAGGTTAGTCCTTGGCTTTGCACCTTGAATAAAACTGCATTATTAATACGAAACAGCAGAATACTGGGCCCTGAAAGACTTAAGCCAAAACAGTAAATGGGAGAAGAAAAAACATGTGCCCAGCTCCTTCTCTGTCAATTGGATGATGTATCACGCTTATCATTTTATGAAATTTGTTTTTGTAAAGTAAAATTTCAAAGAAAACATGGCTTATTCAAATATGGTTGATGGATTTAACTTTGAGGCAGCACTGACCATAATTCTCAGTCTTTTGAAAATTGTTTTCTATCTTCTACTATTTTAGTAAATGATAATACATTTCACCCTATTTGAGACCCCTTTGGTTCTAATTCCGAAAGCCCTATAATTCGAGACCACTTACAAAATAACAATTTTCAATCAAAAGCTGTCCCCCTGGAGACCGAAACCCAGATCACCTCACTCTGTTTCCAAAGGTAGTCTAGAATTGGAGGATGAACTGTACAGTTTCATAATTCCCAGTGTTTTTGTTTTTTTTTAGCTTGAGTTTAACATGATCACATTGTATTGCAGCAAGTGTCCTTGGGAAAAGCACTTTCATCTTGACTATGCACAGTAGTTTGTCTCTCTTCACCCAGAGGTATAATGCTTACCACTGTAGGATGTGAATGATTTGCTATGAAATTGCTGTGTGCTGAATTATATGCATACACTATACACAGGGGATTGCACATTATACATGATTGATTCTGTATCCAAAGGGAAAAACAACCCATGGGAGAGGCAAGGTGCTACAAACTATGATACAAAACAGAAAGATACTTTATAAATATTACGCTATTGTGGTGAACCCAGCCGCTGATTTTTATTCTCCCTATCGTATTATCAAATTATCTTACTAAAAATATAGTACACTTAGAGACATATGGATTGCATCATGATCTCAATGCTCACCTAGTTATAAGTATGATCATGTCTTAGATAATTGGCAACTTTTACAGTAGAAAACAGTCAATCCTGTTTATTTGCTATATAATATTTGTTTAGACTGCTCAGGAGTGGCTTAATTGAAGTATAATAAGCATATTATGGTTTCCTTGGTGGACATAATATCAATGTGAGAATTATTAATTTATTTTCATATTTTATATATATTTTTACAAGGCATTTTTTTAATCATGCACTTCCAAATTAATAAGAATATTTAATATTATTTTCTGTACCTCAGAAAACTCATAGTCAACCTATGTATTGCTTTACTTTGATTTTAAATTGAAAATTAGAATAATAAAATATTTTTCTTTTCAATATGCATAAAAAAATTGCTGTTTGTCAGTTATAAAGATTCTTCATATTAACACAAATCAGCAAAATACTTCACTGTATGTTTGATGTTTCTGGAACTTGAAATTTGAGCAACTTAATGTTTTAATTGAATTTTTGAGGCATTTTTAAAATCTTTTAAAGTGTAGCACAACAAAAATATTCTGTGTTTACACTGTTGATGTCTGAATACAAAATAAGACAAAAGTTTCTACAGGATGCAAAAGATGCAAAATACAATACAAAACAAGACAATAGTTTCTATAAAGAACAAAAGATGCAATCGTGAACATTCACTTGGTAAATCTCAGACCACCCTGGACTAGACTTTTTTTTTCAATAAATACAAATTTATGCGTTAATAAAGTAATAGATTATAATTGCCTTCATTTTTATAGCGTGTAAATGATGAGTAAGATATGGCACATTTGGCTGTTTGTTTTGCATTGAGTATCGGGTTACAATCACACCAAGCGATGCAACCTGTCAGCTTAATTCATCCTGAATTTCCTGTCAATTCAACCAAATCAAACATTTTCACACAACTTGCAACAAAAAAAAAAAGATGATTCTCTTCAACTCTGTTGAATTTTTTTTGCAACTGTCACTGCTAAATCTAAAAAAATATTTTTATTCATTAAACCCTTCAAAAAAATTAATATATTTTGTGTTTTTAATTTGATTGATTTCATTAAAAAAATATTTCTTTTAAATTTCAGGACTATCCACCAATTCATGATCTTTCTTTTCTAAATGAAAAACAAATTGTTGATGAGACTAATGTTTATAGCATATACACTTTTTAAAAATACATACTATTTAAAAATTAACAGATTTTCGAGCATTTTTAAAAGTATTTCAGAAATACTTTTATTTGTTCCCAAGTGTAAATAACAACAGATATTTGCATAGCAACAAGTTACTCATCAAAAAAATAACTATACTGTGAGACAAATTAATATTATATTATTATAAACAAAAATAGCAAGTTCTGTTGTGTGCCTGAGTTGCCCACCCTCTAACGGCCAATGGCCTGACATTAGTTACAGTAACAGGGTGAATGTACTATTTCCTTTCTTAGTCATTTTATTAAAAGTTTGGCATTTTGTATGGTTTTAATTTTGTGTCATAATCCTGTATCCTAGTGGAATCTGAAATTGTGGTGAATTCGGAAGCAATCCTTATAGAATTGAAAGCATTGGTGATGAAATCGTAAGTGATTCTGTTAGCATTAGAAGCGACCATGATGGAATGGAATGAGTGCACCTGCTGTCAACATAACACTTTATGTAATTATGCTGGGTTTTTTACAATTTTCTGTAGGCTTGTAGCAGAATGTCCTTGGTTGACCTAGGCAAAAGGTTATTAGAAGCAGCTAAACATGGCCGAGAAGATGATGTTCGATTGCTGATGACCAATGGGGCACCATTCACAACAGATTGGGTAAGTCATTATCCTCTCAATACAGTATTGGACAATAAAAATAATCTTAAATTCCAGATCGCAGAATTGGAAAATATAATCTGAAATCTACAATAATGTATGTTACCTTTTAAATTCTAATCAGTGGTGGATCGAAAAGTTCTTTCTGACCGAGGGTCCAACAAGTCTGATGGTCGGAACCAAGACGTCGTCTAGGGTCTTTGTCAGGTTCTGGAATAATTTCCCTGGTGGGATTCAAGTGGGGACATTTTATGGCTTAGAATGTCCCAAATTTGTGCTTTCAGACCATGCTCGCAATCAATAACTATGTTTGGATTGGCTATTAATCAATATTTTTAGGCAACAATGTCGACGGACAACTAAATGGTTCTTGCTTTATCTGACAACAGCTATTTTATTCCATACAAATTTGATTTTATTTTTCATTCAGCTTGGAACATCACCATTACACCTAGCAGCCCAGTATGGCCATCTCTCTACAGCTGAGGTGTTATTAAGGGCTGGGGTCAGTAGGGATGCAAGAACCAAAGTGGACAGAACACCCCTTCACATGGCCTCACAAGAAGGTCATACAGATATTGTCAGCTTGCTTGTTAGACTAGGGGCAGATCTAGATGCAAAAGATATGGTGAGTTCTATTAACATTTTTTTTTGCATACTTAATTACAGTATTTTATCCTATAGATCTCTATGGGTATGATACTTGCCTTGATACTGAGAGGTTGCAGGTTCAAATCCCACCAGACACTTTCTTCATACAACTGAAATAAATGAACTTTTTGTTGAGCTATGCTTGATACGATTATTACAACATGTTCCTATTTAGCACTGTTGTTATTATTTATTATTTGTTTATATCGAACTGACGGTACTTGATTTGATATATATGCAATTTTTATATAAACATTTTGAAAGCAAAATTATAAAATAATGCGGACTCAGGAAACATGAATACATCTATAAAACTGCTAGGTAAAGATACAAACAATTTGACAAGGAAATTTTATTTTAAAGTATCAGTTGAAAATTAAATGGAAGGACTGAGAAATTTGCTTGCGAAGTTATCAAAATCTGTATGCATTGTCTAATGGGAATAAATGTACTTTTAGGGTATGGGGACAAAACATCCTTGTTTGAACACCATGTACTCCCATTATGATTTGGGGGGAGAGTAACATGTATTGCTTTCTACTCCCTATCTGAAGTAAGTTTGAATCCACACTTGTTACTCTCAACACTAGATATTTGGTACAGTACTATAACTGTAAAGGTAATCCAACCTATTGCTTTACTTGCTGAATCAATTATTCTTAAAATTTGATATTCTGAATATACATATACTATGTGTTTAAACCAAATACCCGGGATTAAAATTAACCTATGAATGTAGTAGACATGAATCCTCTGGGAGATGAAAGCTCCATGCGGCCAAATGTGATTGATCGGAGAGATATTCCGTTCTTGAAACACGGCCAAGATGTGTAGACATTTGCAAGCAGACATACTGTATGGATGAGCTAGCCTATCTGTCTTGTACAACATGTGGCTAGCATTGTTATTGGAACGACACCAAGACTGAAGCCACAAACTATAACTGAATTAATACAAACTGTGTTTGAATTACGCTCGGATTTGGAAGGAAAAAAGTATTGTGAATATTTAATTTCAGAGAATTTCGTCAATGAATTGTCGGTTTTTAAATGTCTGCCAAAAACTGTAGATAACGAATATTAAACGAAAGGTCTCACTATATTACAGTACATGCATTAGATTTTCATCAAGCTCTATCAAGTATAATTGTAATGGGAATGATTGTTTTAACTATACTTTTTGAAAAGAATATTGCGTTGAAGTTTTTTTTTTACCATATGAAATGAGATTTATTGATTAATCAAAGCTGTTCATTTGGAGCAGTTGAGTGGAGTGCATCAATTCTCTCTTTTTAATTCATCTACATTCAACATGATTAAAGAGACAAGTTTGAAAATTTGAATGACAGAGAGATAAATTAGACACACACACAGAAAGGTCTATAAACGTTGTACTTGAACTGAACATTTTAATCTAGTACCATCCCATTCTCCTGCCCTCCCTCCCAACCCCCACCCCCATTCATTCTCATTAACATGTTTCTGTACAATATATGCACTGTTATCTAGCTTAAAACTTATTCTCACTGCTTAAAAACCTTGGTTTCCTTAAGGCCAACTCAGACAGCGTCGGCCGACACAGCCCGACCCGATTTATCGTCGGGGACAGTCTTAAGCCGTCGTGAGAAATATCTTGGAAATATTAAACATGTTTAATATTCTGCCCCCGACGCTCACCATCGCGTCTGCGTTCAACTCGCACAGACCCGACGCGACAACAAATCGCGTCGGGCTGCGTCGGCCAACGCTGTCTGAGTTGGCCTTTAAACGTCTTGTGGTAAAAACTGGAAACCTTCACAAACTCAAGTAGAATATTAACTAGCTTGTTGATAAGTTCAAATAAGTTATCAGCTTTCAGTGAGATACAGATCAAAATAATTACATTTTATGATGATTTACAGATTTTTTTCTACGGAAATACTTACAAATGTATTACCACACCAGCCAATTTAGATGTCATTCATTCTTGTATAGCCTCTAATAATCCTAAAAAAAATTATACTTCAGCCAATTACTTCAGTGGTTTTACTCCAAAAAACATTACAGAAAGTTTATGATTTTAAAGTTTATTGTTTAATTTTATTCTGACCAGTCTATTAAAGAGTTCATCAAAGCATAATAAATAAGATATAAACTAACTTATATTTTTGTGTTACTGAATCTAATATAATATTATAATGATGGTGGTAATAAATAGTACCAACACCAATAGTGCAGTCTGAAAATGTGATTATTAAACATTGGCAGAATGTTGATGAGTCACGATCTAGCTTTTAAATTTGAGTAACCTTCACTGACTTACCCCCATCAACCAAATGAATTTCCTTTACTGTCACTCATTCACCAGGTGCAGATAAATTTACTTCTGTCATCTTCTTCCATTTTACTTTTTTCAACAGACAATCTACTCCTCCATTGACCAGCTTTTGCGCTAATTTTGGCTGTTGTTCGTCCTGTTCTAGCTGGCCTAACGTATCTACGGCACCTCTGTTCCTGTCCTGACAAATATTTTCCATTGCATATATCAGTATTATTTTTCTTAAATGGATTTTTCTGGTTTATTCCTTTTAACAGGCAGTTTAGGAAGTGGTGTTGAGCAGTTTTGTGCAAATAAGTGTGTTATATTTCTTTAGTGCTTTCAGTGAAGTAGCAGCTGATAAAGGAAAAAGGGTATCCCGTCGCCTTAAGTGTGTGTTAATTTTATTGTGGTCAGTGTAAACATTCTTTAAGCTTAATTGAGGCAGACCTAGGATGTCCCTTTTTGTTTGCTTTATATCTGAATGTCATAAAACTGTCTTAGAGTCTATAGAGATCATACACAGAGATCAGTGAAAATATACCGTAGACGATTATTATTTTCATATCTCCTCAAGGCAAGTTCAAATTTTCCTTTTTCTACTATCCATTCACTAACAATTTTAGATATGCCACATTCCTTGATATCCACAAGTCCATATTTATTCTTATTACATGCAAGAATCTGAACTATTGACCTTGTTGTCTATATTATTATTATTATTTTTTTTTTTAATTATTTTAATATTCTAGCCATAATCCTGTACTGTGTAATATGAAATATGATTATTAACAGTTCTCTCTCCAACGTGAGACCCATCTATTGAGTACCAACAATTTTCAAATCATTTAACACAAAGCCAACCCTCTAATTGGAGATAGAACCTTAAGACCACCCCAAATTTTCAGGTCCCAAAGGTGGTCTTCAAGAGAAAGGAAAAATACTTTTTTATTTTGTAGAGAAAAATCGATATTTTATGCCATGGCCTCAACTTTACTACATTTAGGACCTAATTTCACTTGGAATTTTATCATAAATTTTTATTTATTTTTGTTTAAACATTTAAAAAAATAAAACCCACCTGTTTATAAATAGCAAATAATTCACAAAACATTATAACAATATTTTATGAACCTCTTTTTTAACTAAGTACTAATGCAAATTAGAATGAAGTAAAGTGCAGCTCAGTAACTTACTACAAAGTCAAACAGTATTGTTATATTTTGTTTGATTCATTGATGTTGACGTTTTTCATTATTTCTGATTTGGTTTTTGATTCGGCACTTTCTAGGTTACCATAGTCCAGTATCTCCAATTCCTGTCAGCTGTGTCCCATCATCTGACTTCTCCATTAGCCAGTCCCGTCACGCATGACTTCAGATGCCACATATGGTGTTTACGTGCTCTATCTATTCTACGCATGTTTTTCATCTCCTCGGACACGCGTACATGCCTCATGTAAATAAGACATCTGGATTCTTTACGAGAAGCATGTCAAACACGTGGAGTTTTTCTATCAAGTTAGAGAAACCAATGACTCGATGTCACTTGCAATATTTGATTTACAAGAAGCCCCACCTCCTAAATAATGCGTTCTGATTGGTTACATAGTTTAGTTTGATTGGAACTTGAAAGGTGCAAGTATACAAGTCAAGGTGACGAACTGGAATGGCTGTAATAGAATGCATTTTTTTGACAATGATATAATGTCCTTTTCAATCAAATTACTGTGCCACAATTTTTTTTATCTTTTTTGTGATATAAAATTATAACGCAGACAATTTGAATTCATCAGTAATATTTTTCCAGCAGTGAACGCATTTCAGCAAAATAACAGGATGGAATGATACACTATAAATTCTCATTATAAGTCATAGTTTTTATGTGGTTAGTTTTTTTTTTTGTTTTTTTTTGTTTCATAATTTTAACTCAGGAATCTGATAGGAAATAATTCAATTCAAAATTTAATTTAAACTTTAAACAAATTTGCTTAAATGTGTCTTAAAAATTGAAAATGTGCATCGGACAAAATTTTAAATGCTGACAATACAATAATCCTATTTTTGTTATATTTATTTTCCATGGCTCTTGACAATTGTATAGGTCACTAGTCTAGGCCCAATAAGGTTGGTGCCAAATTTTATGATCTATACAAAAATTACTCAGTGATCCTAATATTTTAAGGTACAAGGTAAACCTTATTTGAACTTCCTGCATTGGATGAAGTTAGTTTACCTTGTACCTTGTACCAATAAATATATTTTTGAAATTTTAGCGTTAACTAATAGAAAAGCTTTAACAGGCATCAAACTTCCAGGTTATGAACTGTTATTACTATTGACAAATGACCATGTGGTCAAAAATAGGAGTCAAGCATAGTGCACCCTCTATAATAGATTCACAGGTTAGGTAGAGGTAATTATGACGTTTCTATACTCTGTTTATTGTTTGATTCCATTCATTTCAATTTTTTTTTTTTTTGTAATTAACAGGGTTAATTCGGTTAAAAGTCCTTTGTTAATTACTACATTAAATTCTAGGTTTCGCCTTATACACTGTTAATGCAATAAAAATACATTAGTGGTTTGCTTGTACAATTAATAATTATTAATGCTAATTATATGTTAATTAATAATGCAAATAATTTATGACCTACATTCAGGAGGGAAACTTCAAATTTAATTGTCTGTGAGAAAAAAAATGAGAATTTTGTGTTTTAAGAAACATTTGAATTTATGTCTGAGACATTGTTGGACATTATTTTTTCTGCTTTCCATTAATCTAATTATCAATTCCGTTCATTTTATTTTTCCGGATGGATTTCCTACCATGAACCCCATGAGAGTGAAACCTTGTATCATAAAAAAAATGATCGTTGTATCCTTTGCTAGTGGGCTTTTTTATGAGTGTCCTGACTGACAATCAACAGGTGCTCTTGTATGACTTGTGATGAAACTTCATTTTGATAGGAAAAAATATACATCAAGTCATGGTATTAGTGTTAAAGACAATGTCCTATGGAGCATCAACTCTAAAATCCCATCTCTTCTTTTTTTCTTCTTTTTTTTCCACTTGCCTCTGTTTCCCATAGTTATTTAATTTACATTCTTTGAGTGCTAGTCCTCGGTGTATCTAAATTCCATAGTAAAGTTAGTGCTGAACATTGCAATGTATTCTTTCACTTTCAAATGGGTTTTTTTTCCAGATAAGCCTTAAGAATTTCTACTGGCCTTATGTTTTTATGCTTTTTTATGTTTATTTGACATTCTTAAACATTTTTGCCATTATACTGTAATGTAAGACCTCAACATGTTAATAAATGACCCTCTTTATACTCTATAATTGTAACACTTTTTAGCTCTCATCATATTTAAACATACAATTAACTAAATTTGATCTGTTGCTATAAAATTATTGTAAAGTAAAGTAAACATCTGGGTTGATAAAGATCATAGACAACGTTTTCAGAGGCATAGGTCTTAGCACATGATCCCTTTCAAAGGGCAAGGAGAGCAATTAATTGCTGTGCTAGAGGTTACCACAGCTGCACAGGAGGGTGATCGCGCCTCTTAAAACTGATGGTGGCCTGCGACTACATCGGAAATAACTAAAAAATCAGATTTTTTTAACGTTATATTTGTTCATCGATTCGTAAAATCACTGAATATTATGATAGTCTCTTCATGCACAGTACTAGGCCTACTGAACGACGTCCCAGTACCCAACCGACTATTTTTTTAGCATCGACCAGGGACGTCCCTAAGTTTACGTACTTCTGTCAGTTCTTGCACAGGCAGCGTACAGACGTTCGCTAGCAGGTAAACAAGGCTGTACTTGGGTATAGGGGTGTGCAGTCAGGCGTATTATGATTCATTTTAGAGAGTCGTCTGGATATGTTTTACGGTGCATCCAATAGGTTATAGTTAAAGGGGAGGAGCAAAGGCCAAAGCGGAATATAGGCGTCCAAACAATGCGCTATTCAAACGGTGTTTTCAGACGCGTTTTGGTAGAACAATAGAAAACGCGTCTGAACGCAGAATAATTTGGCGATCACGCCTAATTTAGATAGCGTTTACCAATGGTTAGATATTAGCCAATGTATAACATGATTTAAATCTTTGGATTGGAGAAGTAAGATATGCAGATTTTGTTTTTAATATTTTCCGGCTGTATATCTCACAATCTGCTGTCCCAATTAAAGAAAGATAATAATAATTGTGAAAAAAAATAAAATATGAAAAAAAAGTATTCTATAGATGGACAAATAATAAAAATTTAAAAAAAAACAAAAAACAAGAGGGAGATTTGAAGCCCATACATTCGATTAACTTTACACTTTCGCTGCTTGGCTACATTTCACCTGATATGTATAGCTGGTAATATATGAAGATATGGCGCAACAGGGCAAGGGTTTGTAATCTCGGATTATCTTGTTTCTTGTTTTTTAATCCATTTATCATAGTGGGATACCGTATGCTACTTGGTTGATTCCATAAGACAGAAGTTGATCATTTGTAAATGAGCAATTAAACATTTTAATTACATATTTTATGGTGTTTTTACTCCAGATTATATCTTTCAAATTTAACCACTTTTCCTTTCAGCATTTGAGTTGTAATTGTAGGATTATCATAACAAATTATAGCATTCAGTTTATAAATATTAATAGAAATGGAAAGTGGTAAATTTGATTTTTTTTTCAAGCAAGTTTTGAGAAGTGTCCATGTCACTATGGCAAGGTTACAGATTTATTTGTGACCAATTTGTATGAAAATTCAGTAAATTGGAGCATTTCCTTTGAATAGTACTGAAGAGTTGGCGTGATTACAAAATAGGAAAGTAGAACTATAACTGCCCTGGATACAAACCATCATTTCAACCATGACAGCTTGTATCATCACCATTCTCATCTGCTTTTCTTTTACTGGTCCATATAGCCCTCTACTGCTTGTATGGTTTTCATGGAAAGTAGAATTGTATTAATCAACTAGGTCTACTCTAAAGTCAAAGCCTTTTAATTGGATTTCTCATGAAAATGTCCTACTTAATTTAAAGATCTGGATCTTTAAATTAAATAAAATACAAGATATTTAAGTGGTTCTTTGTATATTAATATAAGTAGTTCTCGAACATTTGAGCGGAAAAATGTTTTCCTCCTTAAAAAACCCATTAATAATGCCTTTTGCATAGACTCTTAAATTTGCTGGTTACCATACAGGTATGTGAATTTTTGTTTTACCACATTGTTCCTGCTTCTTGTGCTAAAGGCCCCGGTTTAAACCTCGCCAGAATCAGGTTTTAGTTGGAGTCTTGAATAACCCTCATATTGAGAGTTAGGCAAGTTAAAATGTTTATATACAAGGAGGTTTATATCCGTATGCCCAGCCCAACTTTCTGATTTCCAATTAAGAATGAGGACCAATAAATAATTGTTATTACATTTGAGATAATATAAAAAACACAATGAGAAACTCTTTTCCAACAAAAAAATACTAATGAAATTTATAAAAATAAAAATAATACATAATTATAATAATTACTAAAAATCACATAAAGAAAGTATATATCTTACTGGCGAAAACTCAGATTTGCCTATCCTTAAATTTAGGTTTGGGTTTGCCCTCACTAATCATAACAAATGTTTTCTAGACAAATAGACATAAACACTGTCTAACATAAACAAAATGATAGAACTTATAATAGCAGTATTAGAATTTGTAGTCTACAGTGCCATATGCATGGTAAGCTGATTCCCATTGTAAAATGAGAATGACAATAATACTGTATTCAGAGCTTGAGCTAATTACCTCCATCATAAGTACTCTATTGACTCAGTAACTGAAATAACTGGCAGTCTGTTATCCTTATTCTCAAAATTATATTTTATAAAAATAGATGTTCAGTACATTGGTTAAATTTGATTATCCTATTGGACTCATAACTATCACTCTGAAAGTCAGGCAGTTTCATTGCACTTCGAAACAGCGTAACACTCGTAGCGGCTCCACGCTATTATGTTTCTATTTTGAATTGATGATACTGGATACACATATGTTCGTCGCATGCGGAAACGTCAGCGGTGTGACAATTGCATTGTCATGAGTAATTCAAGATCCTCGACCCTGTCGCATATGCGTCTAATTACATACTACCTCTAGGAAAGTACATGGCCGTGTTCTGGCGTTACTCAGGGGCTGCCTTCAGTCACGGTACTCAGTAGAAGGAAGTTAGCTGTGATAGTCCTTGGGGGCCTATTTGGACCATTACTGCCAGATATTAGAAGCCAATTACAATTAGCGTTTAGCAACTCAGCACATGTACAGTAACTGTGGAAAAAGAAACTCAGTCCGCATTTGGGTACCAAATGTATACAATGTACAGTATATTATTTTAATGCTTTTCAATGTATTATAAAAGAATACCCTATCGTTGCATTTCTACAAAGAGAACCTATTTTAATGATATCTTGTTTTTTCATATAGTACCCATCATCATAAAAGAGCTGATATGGGACCTTTTTTCCTTTTTTGTCATAATTTTTGTCTTCATTTTACATTTTTTTTTCCATTTTATTTTTATTTTTATTTTAGTTTTCAAGCTATTTTTCAAATTTTTATAATAATAATCTCTATCATCCACTTTTTACCTATTTTTCATCAATCTTTATTCATTTTGTATGTGATATTCACAATTTTTCAAATAAAAGATCTTTTTTTATGTGTAAATTTTAATAAGCTATATATTATTTAAATAACTTATGTAATATACTTTCGTCAGCTACAACGACAGACATTGTTCATCACCCTTTGATATATGATACTCTTTACTATTTTTTTCATTCCAGCTTAAAATGACCCCACTACATTGGGCAGTTGAAAGAGGTTACAAAGATGTTGTAAAAGTGTTGGTTGAACATGGTGCAGATGTAATGTTACTGAACAAAGTGAGTACTGTATAGTGAGTCATAAATAAAGAGGGGAAATACAGTTAATGAAATGAGTAATCCTATATTCAATAATTTTTTTTGTTTGTTTTTTGTTTTGTTTTTTATAGTTTGAGAAATCTGCAATTGATATAGCAACAGATAATTGTAATACGGAGATAATACAAATACTGTCACAAGCAGGAGTAAGTAATCAACCAATCAATCAGTTTATTTTTCACTCATACTTTAATCTGTATTAGAATGAGTGGAGTGACCAAATGATGCAAGCTTGATGAAGTTAGATTGGCAGAAACTACCCTCATTGCCATTCAATATGAGGGAGACTAATCAACAAAAGCATACAAAAATGAAACATGAGGATGCAACTGTGTGTGTTGAGACCTTGGGCAATGAAGTACATCTTTTCTCTCTGGATACATTATCATTTTTATAATTACATTATACATATTCTCATTTGAACATATTGGAGTGGAGTTTGGTGGGTAAAATGCTTGCCTTCCAATCCCAGGGTCCTAGGTTCAATTCCTGTCAGTGTTGCAAGATTTTTTCTCATGACCAAAACAACTGCACTTCCTAAGCCTCATACTGAGATTTAGTCAGTGGTGTATTTTGGGGGGGGGGGTGGACGTCCCTACCAAAAATTACTCGCACCACCCAAAAATCATGGTCAAGTTGTTAAAAAACACCTAGAATCACCTTTTGTGAGTCAAAGCCCCCCTCCCCATCAGCACCACCACTTCAAGACTCCTAGATAGGCCACTGAATTTAGTGTGTGTAAAGCATCATGTGTGTATGTTTCTCTTGTTTAAGGGATTGTCACCTACAAAGAAAGTGATGTATTCACTATTGGCACTTGGTGCACATGTGTGCCAAAAAAAAAAAAAACAATCTGCCACAGCTGTAGCATATCTTGAGATTTCTAGTTAATTTATACAAAAATGTAATGAATAAAAGGTATTTATTTGTGATCTTACAGGGTCAGAATGGAAGTTGCAGTCCTAATTTGTTGAAAGACTGTCAAACTAACCAGTTTGTCATCCCCTGTACCACACTACCAGGCTTTACACAACTGCCTGCTGCTTCCCTACCAACGACATCAACACAAATATATAATAATTGTAAATGTAAGTACGATTCTATGTGAAAGATTCATTATATGAAATTCTATATTGATTTATTTTTGTTTATTTAGTTGACAAGTTATTATCTTTTAATATAATGAATAAAAGTGATAATAGATGATAATGATAATATTTAAATGCAGAACCATGTGGTACAGTGGCAAAGTTTTTAGTTGTAGGTTGAAGTCTGAAGCTGCACACTTGTTTGTGTTCTTGGGCAAAGCATTTTATCAATGTTTACTCTCCCCACCCTTAAGTATAAATGGATAGCTTGCAGGTTCAAATTTAGATATGCTGATTGCTAGCTGCAAAATATGAAATACTCTCCGAGAGCTCAGTATGTAATCTATATATGTTTGATTCAACGACCTAGAAAAATGTTAACAACATGGATGCCTTGGTATGAAGACCAACATATTAAAATATTAAATTCCAATGTAGTCAGAATAATTATCCTTAAACTAGTGATAATTAAATTAATTGGAACTTGTTTGATTAATTTGTGCAGCAAGCTATTCCAGAGGTTCTACCAGTTCAACATCAGTATTAGCAACGTTAGCTGCTTTAGCGGAGGCCTCGGCACCCTTAGATAAACCAGGTGATTATGATTAAACCATTAAAGCATGCATTTACATCAATGACATTTGAATACCTACAAGTAAATGTTTGTTTTGTAATAAATATATCAGTAGTTTTATTTATGTAGAATTTCTGTATCTTACAATTGAACAGTAAACTTTGCTGTAAATTTGATTTGATAAATTAATAGATCATCTTAACACATCTCTAGAGGGAGATATATAACAATACATAACATCAAACAAGTAACAATACTAAATAAGTTGATGGATGTATTTCATTGTAGTAAGTCCTAGTGATGCATTAGCCTGGTTGGAAGCAAATGCAGTGGATGGTGCTCAGGGGTTTTCTATCACAGAGGCTGGGAAGCTGGCCTTGAACCTGGCTAAGGCCAATGACAACCAACACAGCATCAACAACTCAGTGCAGCATGTCCAGGTTAGCACATCTCCAGTGCACATTACTGCATTTGCTGTCATTAACTGAGTAATAACAATAACCAACTTATAGTAATGATGATGATGATAACAATAAAAATGAGAATAATAATATTTATTTTAAAAATGATTATAACTTAATATGACTTAGTATAATGATAATGTATTTATTAATAATTATGAACTAGTGTTATGTTATAGTAATGATAATATAATAATTAATAATAATTATTGTATTGTTTATCATTATGAATTAATCTTATGGTAATCATTACAGTATATAATATAAATAATAAAAATAATGATAATATAATATTTTTAAATTATATTAATAATTATATAACTAATTTTGTAGGAACAGTTTGAGGGTACATGACTTACATTTGCTCTTTAAGCTGAAGTGAACATGTATGGTGATGTTCAGATCTATAACATTGTCTTTTAGTTACTGGGGAATAGCCCCCAAAAAGTGATAACAATAGTGACCGATCCAACGAGTGAGTTGACCGCTGCTGATCTATCTTCAATCAAAGCTGCAGCAGCTGGTGTTGGTACGAGCCCCATACTACTAGCCCTACCAAACGACTCGCAGGGAACGGGGATCAAAATTATAGCACAAGATGCACAGGTATGTACTTTATCACATTATGCATTAATGCATGAATAATGCATTATTTTTAAAGAACCTATTTTCCAGGGCAATAACATAAAAGAGTTTGAAACCTCATTTATTGAAAGACTTATAGAAAAATAACAGAGGTTGTTATACAAAAGAATAGTGTCATCTTTAGTTTGGTTGGTAAACTTGGTTTTTTTCCATTCACATGTAATTTTTTTTAAATTAATTTGTCTATCTAATAAGTACATTGCATTTTGAATTTTTACTTTGTAGTCAAAGGCCGACCGAGCGATGATTGAAGCTGTTCAAAAGCAAGCTGAACAACTGAAACAACAGATTCAACACAATCAAATAGTGGTGGAAAAAGCAAATGAGACAACTTGACCTTGTTAGTTCATGATGATAAACCGCCTTTGCCAAAAGATGTTGAAGTAGAGCCAGTTGAAGACCTGTTGCTTGACTCAATTGCAAACAACTGGATCCTGCTTGATGCTTAGCTGTGCCGGAGAAGCGTTTGTTTCTTCTAGTTGGTGAATGACAATCATTAACTTTCAATCATGTGACTGGACTCTACCATTGAATTCACTTGTGTGACTGGTAGCATGGTGCCATAATGGTACCATTACACATGGTAGTATGGTACCTTTACGCCTGGATTTCTGTTGTACCATGGTAACATTACACCTGCATTCATGTACAGGTAGTAGCATGGTACCATTACACCTGGATTTCTGTTGTAGCATGGTAACATTACACCTGGATGACAAAGGTAGCGTGGTTCAATTCCACCTGGCGTTGATTTCATTGAGACGATACTATCATTGTTTTTTCACACAACCTAGTACACCTAAATCTTTGCTGATGACACTGCTAATACCACAAATTACTGTAACTAAATGTTTAAATTCTACTGTACATTTAATGGAACTTTACGCTTAAAATGAATGCTAGTTATACAACTCCGTTTCAGCTATAGGCTTAAAACTGAATATTTAATATCAAGGTTTACCGGTATCATTGTTTAAAAGATTGAATATTCATTGATCACAATACTTAGTAACATTACACATGAGGCTGATAGTTGATTGCAGCTCAGTGTTGTTTCCTAGTAGAATCACCAAATCGGTCATTTGATAAAGTAATACAATTATGTAGATCCTATTAAGAAATTTTAATGAATACCTTGATCTCTTCCTAATGAATATGATGTACATTGCTTCTGTCTATTCCTTTAGTGATGTCATATACATCACTGGTGCTTTCTCCTATATTGATTGGCAGTTCATTGCAATTTAGTGTTAATTTATGATGCCATACATATAAATATGGTAAGAGATATATGGTACATTTCAGGGATGTATCTAGGATTTTCAAAAATATGGGAACAGGGGAGGGGATTGTATTTAACTAAGAAACAGGGGAATGTAGTTTACTAAGAAAATTTGGTAAAACATGGCTTTCCCCCCCCCCCCTCCTCTTTGGACCTGAATTTTATGGGTTCTTAATTGATATGGACATTTACTTTTGTGTTTTCATCCCAAACATGCATTATTAATATTAAAGCTTGTTTTGCATCAATTATACTTACAACTTAGTCATACCAACTGCTATTGAAAAGGCAAAGATGCAAAATATTTACAAAGCAAAAAGACATGAAGATGAAGAAAAAAAATTGTAGGCATTAGCGCCTGCAAGATGAAGTGGAAGCCAAACATGTGGATGTACACATTCATGAGGAGATAAAATGATGTATATTTCTAAAGTATTAGTAATTCCCATGTAAAAATGTGCATGAATGTAAGGTTATCAAGACCACTGGTAAGAAAGACAAGGCAATTTAACAATGAAATGTTTGATTGATTGATAAACAAAACAAACAATACACCATAATAAAAGTGAGGGCGCTATTGTAAAAAACTTAACTCATCTTGGTATTAGTATCTGTAACTTGTATTACAGTACAGTAATACAGTATCTGAGAATGATAAAATAAGTTGTTTTCATAGATTTTATCCATTCCCCTGATATGATTCTGTGCTTTTATGAAATTTTAATTGATGTTATTTTATCATTTTGGAGGCGTTACTTCATAACATAAATTTGTTATAGAAATAGAGCAGGCACATCCTATACAGATTACGTCATCCAAATGTATGGACCTAGGCAGCAGTTTCCCATCAGAAACCTAGTTAAAAATTTAATTATGGCTTTAAGTGAGAAAGCAAATTTTTCACACACATTTGTCATATTGCTGTGTCAAGTTGCTGCTCGTATCCGCACAGCAGTTTTGCTGGATCCATTCTTTTGTACAAATTTATTACATACCAAACCGTATTTCATATGTTGCCTTGTTTTTCTCTTGCCGTTTGGTGGATGCCTTTTGGTTAAGTGTTTTGTTGGCACTATAAATGTCTCTGAAATACTGTAACAAGTTCTCTGAATTCTGATGCTTAGAATTCAGGGAAGGTGATTTGTTGACGAATATGAAGTTTGTAAATAATATTTATTCCAAGTATTGAATTTCCAAGAATAGGAATATGTATGTATTGAACCAGATCATGTGAATTAAACATGTTGGATATGGATTCATAGAAATGCATATGTGTCAATTATTTTTAAACATCACTAACAGTCCGTTTTGAGCGGTCTGCAGAGATTGCAGTTCAGTTGTTTCCATAAAATACAGTTAAACTTGCCTAATTTAACTGTGCCTAAGTCGATCTTATGTTACATGCCAAATTGTTGTGTTTTCCATTAATTAACAGTCAAATTTCTGTAAGAACAATATTTCAATGGCATTTTGGATTCGACTTACGCAACTTCAACTTGTATGTCTCTACCATTGCACAGAACTAGTTACAATGAGCTTCTTCTTATCGAGTCACTACGTACTAGTATGTATGATCTTGCTTATGTAGTGTGGTAGAAGGACTCACAGGTAGAATGGATACCTGACACGCTCCTTCTGTGGCCAGACAGGGGAGTGCAAATGGACCAGTACACCGGGGTAACCCCCTACTCTTCTCGAATGATGTACTGGGTTCTTTATAGTGTACACAAGCCAATTTTGTACACTGGACCTACGTTTTAAAGTCCTTATCCGAGAAGACTTGTTCCACCACAAGCGAGCATGCCGTTCAAACCAGTACCGATATTATGTCTGTATGCATGGGCGTCGATCGGTGGGGGACAGGGGGACTCGTCATCCCCACTTTTCAAAGTAGGGGGGGACATCATATCGATTGTCTCTCCCCCCCCCCCTTTTCACTAATCTTCTATAATTAAAACCCCACTTTCAAAAGTGTATGGAAAGAATAACAATTACGATGACACATGAATTTTGCCTGTTCAGTTTTCCAAGTGCGGTACGTATTTTGCGGACCAAAACTGAGTAAAAACGTAATTGTTTTTTCTTTTTGCAAAGAAAATTGACCCTACTGGCGTCACCACGGCATCCCCACCGAACGATCTAACGTGACGTTGTTATGTGGGTGTTTTATAGATTAATGAGAATGGTAATATCACCAAAAAAATAGATAAAATGACAGATGAATGACCAAAGGCTTAAAAGTTTGATGCGAGGCAGAAATTTATGAGCATGTGATTGGAGTGTTGAACAATACGAAAAAAAGTAGGCTATACAGATAAATATTCATTATCATCATTATATTATTATGTAGGAGGCCTACCGTATGTATGTACTCCAGTGGCCTATCTAGGGGACATCTAGATGTGTATAAGAGACAGCTGATGTACTCGTTCATGATTTTGCCCAGTCACATTTGAGAAGACCATATCTCAGGGCATCTAATTACTATATTAAGCATTTTTTTTTTTATTAGGGAGAGTGTTGCCCAACCTATCACTGCATTCACACGCTAGCGCCCCTCACTTCGCACTGTTCTGAGAAACGGAGGAAAATTCACGGGAATGGAAATCATTTCCTCAAAGGACAAAAAAAAAAAAAAATTAAAAAAAATTGTGACATTTAATATTTTTGGTCTGTCGCCCTCTATACTTACTGCAACTTTACACGGTGGCCGTATGGATAACTGGTATCGTGTGTGTGTGTGTCAATCAATGAAAAAAAAAATAAGATGAATAAAATCAGCTCAATTTGTAGATCGTCTATCAGATTCCTTAAATTTTCAATTAGAGATTATCATGGAGAACGGATTGCAACCGTCGGGTCTGCACCCGACAAACATTCTACACAGTACACGGTAAGAAACAACAATTTTCCCTAGCTAGGCCTAGGCCGTAGGCTACCTTTTTTAATTATTAGCCTGGCATTGTTGCTTGCACGTCCCAGTCCCACCCCGAATGACCAAATTTACAAGAGTTAGCTAAGCCTGCGAGCTTGGCGTTTGGTGATTGGAATCAGAAGCGGTAATTGGACATTAATGGAAAATTCAGCACTTTTCGCCCAATGTGTTTTGCAGCTTGTGTGCAATCGGTGCTCATTTTTGGTTTGAAATATTCCATTCTAAAAATATTTTATTAATTTTTAGAGTGGAGGGTGGTATTATTTATTTGATATTTCCTCCTCATTAATTGGTGCCCTGTCATTGTTTATGCTCATAAGAAGATTTGTTTTCATTTAGGATAATTATGCAAAGATGCAAGAGCTAGTAAAGGAATTAAAACAGAAGGTTAGCGTGATTACGCAAGGAGGCGGCGCAAAATATATTGAGAGACAGATTTCCCAGGGGAAGATGCTGGCAAGGGATCGAATCACAAACTTATTGGATCCAGGGTAAGTTGTTGAGTGTCAAACTTATATTTACACCTCGGACACTATGCTTTATATACAAACTTATTTAAAAAAGATATTAATCCATAGTTGTTTATACTTGATCCAAATTATAATAAGTGTAACACTAAAAGAATGATTTAACAGCAGACAGCTAATAATTTTCAAAAACAACACAACAGTTTGTATCGTAGCAAAGCCTATATTTAATTTATGGGTAGTGCTGGCCTTAACGGCCCCAACAAGACACGTTTCGGCAATACTTTTACTATCATCAGTTATCGTATTGCACATAGGTAATCATTTGTATAAGGGAAAGAATGTAATACTGCAGAAAAAAATTTTAACAAAATGCAAATAAAAAAAATAATGTTTATGATCTCTCACATACTCTTTTAAGTTCATACAACAATATGCTACTTCATTAAAGCCATACATAAAGGGATTTATATAGCTTTTAATGGGTTCACTCTAGGTGACCCTTTGTATAGTAATAAAAGACATCATAGAATCTAAATCCACTGCACCTTACTACTAACTTTAAGTAACCTAACTAAAGAAAATCATCCAACCAAAAACCAAACATCATTACACTGTTTTCTAAAAGACACAAAGCCCAATTGAGTCACTACTCTCTAAGTGGTTAAATTAATGCTGGTATCCATATAGCAAATACTGTAAAACAAAAGAAATATCAGGTTTACACTCATACCCGACAAACTAAGTCGTACCTAACCAGCAAATTTAAGAACAGATTACCTTATATATAATATTTTTCTTCAGTTCTCCTTTTCTGGAGCTCTCTCAGCTTGCCGGTTATCAACTATATGGAAGTGAGGAAGTGCCAGCCGGAGGGATAATCACTGGCATAGGCAGAGTTTCCGGGTAAGTTATACAATATCTATTATTATTGTCATTATTATCAATATTAAATTATGATTTTCTCTCATACTACTGTGATCCCTTATCATAGACTCAGTCTTCTTGTATAATAAACAACTTTATATCTTCCCCATTTAAGGTCAGACATAAATTTAATTCTACTGACAACAGAGTTATTTCTACAAAAACCATTTATGCATTACATAACAGAATTTTTTAATTAATTATTTGTTGTTATTGTTATCATTAACACATTGCATAATTGAAATTTAATTATTATCATTATTGGTTATATTGTTTTTGCTATTTTATAAATATTATATTTATAATTGTTCATTATTTTGTATATTAATGAATTATCACTAGTTTATTATTGTTAATTCAAGTTTTGCACTACTTCTATTTATCTAATAGTTATTTTTTTTATTGAACAATAATTTACAAAATAATATTAAAAATTGTATTTTTGAAATTGAAGGGTTGAATGTATGATAGTGGCAAATGATGCTACAGTGAAGGCTGGGACCTATTATCCTATCACTGTTAAAAAGCATCTAAGAGCACAAGATATAGCAAGAGAAAACAATTTACCATGTATATACCTCGGTAAGTAATCAACTTCATTTGTATTAATTTTTTTTATTCATGATTTAACAAAATTCACCTAATACTTTTTATTCATATTTGCTAGTATTACTACATATTATTTATAATATATATGAAATGATGAAAGCTTTTTATTTCTTCCTTAACAATTAAATAGTATAAAGCATCTATCGATCCAATTACTGAACTGTTCATCACATCACATTTTTTACAACCACACAATGGCATCTAAAGAGCTATTACTGTTTTTTTTACATCGCATACATTTTTCATATTTAATAACAGGGTATTTTATTTTTTCATATGACTAAATGATTTTGGCAGAACTATTGTCCAAAATGAGAAAACAAATTTTCTTGATTTTTTTTTCCTCTTCTGTCAATATTTCAAAATATGTAGATGAAATTATTTAAATGATTTTAAATTTAATTGATTTTCAAGTTGATTCTGGTGGTGCTAATCTACCTAGACAGGATGAAGTGTTCCCAGATAGAGATAACTTTGGCAGAATCTTCTTCAACCAAGCAACACTCTCCAGTATGGGAATACCACAGGTAAGAACAGATGTGTATTTTTTTAAATCGACACTATCGCTTTAACAAGGTTTTGAACTATAATGCTCTGTGCTCACTATTAAATTTATTTTTTCTGCAAACTAACCCATCTCTCCAAATTCAGAAAGTTTGCAAGTGTTTCCAAGTGTATTATTGTTTATTTTCATCCCTCAAATCTGCTGGTCTTGGGTGCCACTCCATGTAGCAAAATACAGTAAGAGGTGTTAAGGAACCAATATTATATATTAGAAATTATAAATATGTTTGATTTTTTTAAAGTGAAATTTAATTATTTTTTTAAATACTCTGTTTATATTTTTGTGTGCCTTAGTGCCTGTATATTTATATTAAATTACTATTTTTGTGTCAGGGAGCTTTTCAGGTAATAAGCTGTGCTTCAGAAATTCCCCCTTTTCTTTATTTCTTTTATTTTAAATTTTAATATGTTAATATTGATTTGTAATGTTTATTAACATGTAATGAAATGTTTATGATGTTACTGTATGTTTGAAGAAAGAACAAATGAAAGAAAGGCACTAAATACTAATAAATGAATGAATGAATGAAAGGTCATTAGTCCAGATCTTCCTAAAAGTGGCTTCCCACATTTTGGGACCTCTGTACCCCTAACATTAGGCTCTCTTTAACCTATCATATTTACTGTGCTGTTGTCTACATTGGGTTTTCTGGGAAATAATATGTTATTCATGTTCCTTGACAAATGGAAACTACTGTATGACGTCCACTTTGGAACAAAAAGGAAAGACACATTGTTAATGCACATACCAGTTGATCTCTGGATTAAATAAAACAATGATGTTAAATTCTTATTGTTTGTTTTTAGATTGCGGTTGTGATGGGAAGCTGTACAGCGGGTGGTGCCTATGTCCCAGCAATGGCAGATGAGAGTATCATAGTCAAGAAGCATGGCACAATATTTCTAGCAGGGCCACCATTGGTACTGTAATATAATACAATGTTACATGATATGATATACACAATAATATCATAGATAAGTGACACAAAAACTGAATTGAAATATTACATCGTAGTATATTACATTTTATATACCTCATACATAGATTCTAGGCATCTGATTTATTAAGGAGTGGGCAATAGAAAGTACTATTCCCCTAAAAAATAGTACTTTTTTGCCTGTCGCGATGTGCAATCTGTAGGCTGCGTTTTGCTATGTAATTTATAACATGCACGAACGGTAAAGGAGACGTGACCTCTACAAGATGCTCGCTGAGAGAGATTGGCCCTTTGAGACCTACTTGGTGTGTACTATTTTCATTAGTTTTTTTAGGTCTCATAGAATCTATGCATGAGGTATAAAAAACAAATATTGACTTCTCTAGATTCGGGGAATGGTGAAATCTATAGCCCCTCGGTGATGTGCAGACCGTAGCCTATCTTACCTCGGGCCCTCAGGAAGAAGAAATACAGTCTCCACATCACCTTGGGGCAAAAGATTTCACCGTTCCCCTCATGAGCAGTCAATCTCAAAACCTCTAAAGTTTAAATAACAATCAACTTCTCTCTCATTATCATCTTTTCAACTTTTGCCAATACCATTCATGTGATACCAGGTCTTCTACTGTTAAGAATTTTATTTATGAAAGCCACACTACTTTACTAAGAAGGACATCTTTTATTTATAATGGGCCATACTTATGGAACAGTTTACCTCTTAAACTTAAATTAACACACACTTTAAAATCTTATAAAAGAAAATATAAACAATATTTGATTGATAAGTATGTGTCACAGTTTTTCGTTTATCCTCTATTAAATAGTGGATAACTATTAAAAATACCATCCTCTTCATTTTATTCTTTTCTTCCTGATTATCACTTAATATATTTGGTATGTTATATCCAGAAACATTTCACTACCCTTATTATTTGTTATTATTGTTTGTTTGTTTGTTTTCTTATTACATATTATATCACTAGCCATTCACTAATTCAGTATATTTTTATTTGGAGGATCAGACTTGAAGCCTTTCTGGCTTATTGTTGAACGAATATTTAATTATATATTTTTATCCATACCATGAAATTCTATTTAAATCTCACTATTGTTATATTAAGTTAATGAATCAAAACCATTAAATTATTATAATATGTTCTCATATCTTGTTTATTTTTTATGTTCATTGTGTGAAACAATAAAACTGAAAACATTTTGGGCTATGGGTCTTGGGGTAGGGACATTAATCTACTAAGGTCCTAATGACCCCAGTCTATTAACTGAACTATGCATCTTAGGGTAGGGACGGTACTCCTCAACTTGTGAAAACTGACTGTTAAAAATTATTATTTGTTGGTCATAGGTCAAAGCAGCCACAGGTGAGGAAGTGTCTGCAGAGGATCTTGGAGGGGCTGATTTGCATTGCAGGTGAGACTAATCAAATATAATTTACATATTTCTGGTAAGTCTGTAATAACGTACTTTTCAAACAGTTAAGAATACTGCTTTCATACCTATTTCATCTATTTGATTAAATTTTGATTATTGTTCATAGGACATCTGGAGTAACAGACCATTATGCCCAAAATGACCAGCATGCATTGCACTTGGCGAGAAGGATTGTCGCAAACCTAAACAGACAAAGTAAATCCAATGTGAGTACTGTACTGCTATCTTGGTACCATAAATTTAACAATAGAAATTTCCCTTTCCTAAGTCCCCTGGTCACTAGTTTCATGGCATGCACACTGCTTCCATTTTCACTCCTTTGGGACGTATTCCAGCTGTGCTACAATTATATATGAAGATTCCACTATCCTACCAAGTTCCAATTTAATTCGTGTTTCCACAAATTGTTGACTGGCAACCTGTTTACAGGTGCTAATGTCAGAATATGCAAATTAAATTTCAGGTAAGCATACAGAAACCAGAAGAACCTCTTTTCCCTATAGAAGAACTGTATGGTATTGTGTCAACGGACTTCAGCAAAGTTTATGATATACGAGAAGTGATCAGCAGAATTGTTGATGGTAGCGTGTTTGATGAATTTAAACAAATGTATGGCGATACAATAGTTACAGGTAGGGGAAAAAATTTCTTTAACAAACAAATGCTCAAAATTAACGAATATCAATAATTTTCTATTTACAACAATATTTGAAATCATGGTAACAATGGTGTCATACACCAGACAAAATCAACCAATTAACCAACATGCTTTGTAGCATTAAGCTGCATTCACACCGAATCCGAATTTAATGGTTGAAAGGCCTACCAAATCGATCGGAAAATCGAATCAGTGTGTAAGAATAGGAACACTGACGTTCAGAAATATGGCTCAAATTTTGGTTCCTATCCGATCTGCATGCAGCTTTAGGGAGATTTCAATTGCACAATGGTAGGACCTAGAATGTAACGACTACTAAGAAATAATGCTGCTATGTAAGAATAGAACGCAATTTGGCCTGAATCTATTTTATACAGAGAACGTAGGATGGTGATGTATGAGTGAATTGTTCGTCGTAGCATTTACGTGGTTGCGCAAATCGAAAGCTCCCTATATTATGTAGAGCAAGCAATTATTATCATTAGTTTTATCTTTGCCTCGTAGGTTTTGCTCGTATATTTGGCTACCCTGTTGGAATTTTAGCAAATAATGGTGTACTATATTCATCTTCATCACTCAAAGTAAGTGAGAACAAATCAAGATTCTTCAGTAAAGAAATCTTTTTGCGAGTAGTGTCCTTTGATAGTAGCTGAATCTTCCGGACATTGACTGATAATCTCCCAAAAGTAATAAAATCTCATTGATTGTTGTGTTAAATTTCCTCTCATTTTTACGTGGTTCACTTAATATAATAAAGATAAATAATAATTATATAAAATTGTTACATGTTAGTAAATGCAAATATTTTGTTAATTAGGCTATACTATGTCTTCTATTTTTCCTTATTTTCAGGCAGCTCATTTTATAGAACTTTGCTGTCAGCGCAATATTCCACTTCTATTTTTGCAAAACATTACCGGTGTGTGTAGTAATTTATTTATCTTTTCTTAAACTGTCCAGATTATAAAATTTTCTTTGACAAGAAACTGTTGTATGCCCATATATAGTCATGATGTGTCTATATATGGTTATGATGTGATGTCATCCTGACCATATATAGACATGTTGCATGTTTTTGTCAAATAAAATTTGATAGTCAGGACATGGCTTTACCTATTTAAAAATTGTGATTTATAAGCTTTCCCCATTGATCCATCTTTTCCTTGCTCGACACTTTATTTTCCTGAGGGAATTTTAAACCTTAACACGTAGGCAGTGTTTCTAGATTAGATTCTTGTACTAATATGCGTTACATTTTTATTTGAATGTTGACAGGTTTTATGGTTGGGAAGGAGGCTGAAGCTGGGGGAATTGCCAAGAATGGTGCTAAGTTAGTGACAGCAGTGTCGTGTGCTAAAGTACCCAAGATTACGCTGATTGTAGGGGGATCATTTGGAGCTGGTAACTATGGAATGTGTGGTAGAGCTTATGGGTAAGGATTTAAAGTATATAGTACATTACAGGTGATAGGTAAAGGTAAAGGTAGGAGAATAACCCGTAACTTGCAGTGCCATTGTGCTGAATTGCATATATGGGCGTGGTCCGTGACTACCTAGTAATCGTAAAGAGGTGCTTCGTGGTAGCTACAAGTTCACACTCCACAAAAATATACTACTATACTAAATACGAAAGTATAATACATACTCCAAGTATTGAAATACACGCCATCGTGTTGGGATTCAATATTTCGACATTAATTATGTCATCATCATTCCTGATGATGACATAATTAATTAATGTCGAAATATTGGCGTGTATTTCAATACTTGGAGTATGTATTATACTTTCTTATCTGAGATTAATCAGTGGACCTTTCGGTTTATACTAAATACTATACTAATAAATACTACTACTAATACTATAATAAAATACAATAATATATATAATATAATACTATATTAAATTATAGTAAATCACATTGTATATTACAATCTCAATAACTGGGTATGGGGCATATAATTTTTGTCTTGGAACTTTGGATGACCTTACCCATAATACATGGTCCATGCACATGTATTTAGTTTTGTTTTATTATTTTATGTATACACGTTTGTACTGTATTATTAAGAGATATTATTGCTATATGGCATCAGTAGCCAATAAATTTGAAATTAAGAATAAAAACTACAAGGTTATTTATAAATTAGTGATTTTCAGTCAGTCAAATCATTCGAAATAGTCAGTTAATTAATTAAATCCCTTTCTGTGATGTTAAAGTATTTTAAGTATATGATTAGATTAAATTAGATTATTGTGCCAGTGTCCTAATTTCTGTCCTGTATAATTATGCCATGCTCTGGGAACTGAGTATGTTCTATGCATTTATTTCAATGACCGGAGCTAACCTTGTTTGGAAGAATAAATCACTTCACTGATGACTCATCTTTCTCTTACAATAAATGAAATTGTTGTTGCCATAGTGACTGCTGGGTCATGTGTAATAATTTATTACTATTAGTTTGTAAATGACTGTAATTGTTATAAATGCTATATATATTGTTATAATAATAAATGTTGTTCACTGTTTACACTTTAAGTAGTGCTGATGTTTTCATATTTCGATTCTGTTTACAGTGCTTGTTTATTATTATTGTATTGAGCATTTCAAATATTTACAGTTAATATTTTTACCATTTTATTAATAATGTTTTGTCTTATACATAGTGTTATCATTTTGACAAGGAGACTAAACCAATGTATATTACTTTTATTAATATTATTCTAGACCAAGGTTTCTATACATGTGGCCAAATGCACGGATCTCGGTAATGGGCGGAAAGCAAGCAGCCTTGGTGCTATCACAGGTCATGAAAGCACAGCGTAAACGGGAGGGAAAAGAGGTAAAAATTACACTTTGTTAATGATATTAAGAGTTTTAGATACTTAACATTATTGTCATTGTTAAATATGTGAATGTGTGGCTAAATATTGCCAGCTATTTTGATTGGAAATGTATAATATTGTCCTGAGAATCATAATTTTGATTATAATATCTGGCTTTAAAGTGTCTTGCATTATGAGGATGCAAGACGCTATATAAATAAACTAAATTGTTTAGTGGTGTTTATTGTTTAGTTCACAGCAGAAGAAGAGGAACAGTTGATGAAACCAATCCTAGAAAAGTATGACAAAGAAGGAAGCCCATATCATTCAAGTGCAAGGTGGGTTATAAAGATATCAATTCTAATACTAACATTAGATAATAATAAAAACACACGTATAATTCCCCATCTTGGAACCTCAGCTAACCTCTTTATCTGTTTTAGGATCACATGACTTCTAATTTATTATATTCTTCCTAAATTGTAGCTATTGAACCACCAAGTGTGTAGCAAAAATCCAGCCATTAACCCATGTACTGTATTGTAATCATACAAACAAGCAACAAGGCAGCTAGTAATCTAAAAACCCAACATATCCATTATTAACTTGGCATAGCATTGGCATAACTAATGACCAATAGAAGCATTGATCCAGCTAATAATAATTCTTAAATATTTCCATATTACAGTGTAAATGTCAATCTATCTACACACTATTTAATCTTGATGACTGACATTTTCTCTTCAATTATTTCAGGCTTTGGGACGATGGAGTTATAGACCCTGCTGATACTAGAACAGTTCTTGGTCTCAGTCTGAGTGCTGCTCTCAATGCCCCTATAAGTGATACACGATTTGGAGTCTTCCGCATGTAGTGAACACCACCAACAGGAAATACATTGACTATATAGAGATAGCATCTGCATTATCAATGGACATTGAACAGATTTGAAGTCTTCAATTATTGAAGAAATATGGACAATGGTCATTTTAAACAGTAGGGAGTTTTTGATTGAGATGACAATGTAACCCAGAATGGATTCTCATGTCCCTGACCATTCTGTGCATTATATTAACATTATATCAATCCATTGAAATAAATTGAGAGAGACAGTAAATGTAATGTTGCTCTACTAACATATCTTGAATGACAAGTGTGGTAATGTTTCTAAAATAGATGAAATAATGAAGTTTCTTTGAAGCTTCAAGAATCCTGAAACTACTCACAGGGTATTTAATTTGAAACCCTTTTTCCCCTTAAGTCTGGGGATATTTATACAAATCATGATTGTGGACTTGCACTTCAATTTTTACAACCGATTCTTCTTTTCATCACTATTTATTATTCATCCATATCCATGTTAATGTAAGAATTTCCAAAGAATAAAAATATATGTACATAATATAACATTTCAAAACAGTGTGTGCATTATTTTAGGTCTTGCTCACTAAATTCATAAATAATTCCAGATTATATCACTCCACTATATACTGTACATCCCAATAAATGACAACCTGACGAATTAAAAAAGTAACATCAAAGATGACCACATAGTCTTGACAAAAGGAACACCAGGTCTACTGGGCTACCTAATTACTTGCCAGCTATAGATATACTCTGCAACCTGAAGAACAAATTTTGATCCACCCAGTGATACCAAGAAATCGAATGCTAACTACAGCCAAAGTCACAATAAAGTGAAATACCAACTAGCATCACTTTCTACTTTTATTACTTCGTAGCCCAGTAAATTTGTTTAGCTCTTGGCAAAGACGGCACAAAAAGCCCTAGGTGGATTAAATACCTAGGATAACCCACGAAAGTCTGAAGAAGACTTATTTCCAGTGGGGTCCTTCTGGTGGTGATTGGGCAGCCAATCCTACTCTTTTCCGAAGAGTGTACTACATTATTTTAACGTGTACATGGACCATATTGCACACAGGACCAACGGCTTAAACGTCTCATCCGAAAGACAGTGCACTATCGTAACTTTCAGCCCTCCAGCTAAAATACAAGGAGAGCTGCGATGGGAATTGAACTGGGGACCAAGAGATCTCCACGGTTCAGCGCACACACACAGTGGCTACCACCTGTTAAGCCGACTGAGCTAAGCTGCTCTCTATGGCCTGTTACTCCCCTCTCTAGACATTGAGGACACAATACTAAGGAACTTATTATCAGTTTGGTATTTGAGACATCTATTACTTCTCTTGATGTTGAATGAAGATGCGATATAACCTAAGGGATGTAATACTGTACCTCCTGTTTATGTTATTGAATTCTGAGCTTTAGGTTGTTGGCAAGGCAAGACTTTTTTTATACCTTGTTTGGCGAACCTGCCGCTCACAAATAATGATGATTTCTAATAAAAATAAAATTTTATTTTTGGCCAAATAGCGTACCTGCAACTACAAAAGAAGGAAATTTCAGAAATTACTCCCTTCGCTGTCTTGAAATCTCCAAAGGTAAGATATGTATATTTCTTCCTAATTATATAAATTTAAAGCATTTAACCATCCCATTACTACACTGTATTCATTAATTTACCAATAAAATTTTATTTTTATTTTCTCTCGTCTGGATAATTTTGGCAAAACTGCTAAATAAGGAGAGACATTTTTTTACTCCTTGTTTCGGGTACTTATTTTTTAAAAGACTATTGGAGGAGGGCGTAACAAAAATAAAATTTTGTTTTCTTATTTAGCAAATAGTTTTGCCAAAATCATCCAGACGGAGGAGTAAATGAAAACAAAATTTTAATGGTGAATGTAAAATAGGATGGTTAAATGCTTCAAATTTACATAATTAGGAAGAAATATATATATCTTTGAAGATTTCAAGGCAGTCTTGCCTAGTAAAAAGAGAAACTTACCAGACCAGATCTGCCCTTGTAAGTCTATTTCGTTCCCTTTGTTCTACTGTTTTGGAGATTTTGTACTGGCTGTAGCAATCAGGGATGCTTCTAAAGTGCTGATATCTTAACAGGAAGAAGGTTTTTTTTAAATAATAAATCCTTCAACTCACTCAAAGGTCTCATCCTGGATAGTTCTGCAGCTCATGCATGCATATATATTTCACCTTCACTCTCTATATCACTGTCACAGTTCCAGTTTTAGTAAAATACAGTAATCACAGCAATGAAACTATCACTATGTAGAGTGGAAGTACATTAAGGTTAAATTGTTGCAGGTTATTGTTTACTACCTTATTAAAACAATATTTTCCTCATGGGCAGATTTGGGGGCGGCCTGGCCCCCCCCCCCCCCTTTTGGGAGGAAAAAAAAAATAAAAAAAAGAGAAACCCCCCCCCCCCCCTTTTGGGAGGTAAAAAAAAAATAAAAAAGAGAGAAAATTAAAAAATGATAGCCCAGAATGCCTCAAATGTTATGTTCGGGCGTCTAGAACACAAAAATTTCGCGGGGGCATGCCCCGGACCCTGTACGACAGTGTTTTTTATTTTTATTTTTTGTGAGTAAATGTGAATAAAATATCTTAAAGCCTTCCTGCCTTATTAACAAAGGCAATTCAAACTCACCTTTCACGATTTCAGCAAAAATGCTCAGAACCTGATAAATTTTTATTAAAAAAATGACAGTAAAAGTCCATATATACAATTAAGAATTGGTTAGAGACAAGTTTTTCTCTTCAAAATGACACCGTTAAAAAAATAATGAACGTCTATTTCAAAGGTAATTTTGCAATCCTCATGGTGCGGCCATTTTTTATACTTCACCGCAGTATTTTTTTAAGAGTCACTAAGAAATTATATTTTCTAATGAAATAAGTGAGAAAAAAAAGAGTTGTGCTTAGTGTGTACAGACTAAGAAATGTGAGTGCATAATGTAGGTAGTACCTTGGCATTTAATAAGGGTCCAATACTCCATTCACGACTTACTACCATCTCATAGAGTATGATTGTTTGACAGGGGTGGTTCTAGCAGGGAGAGGACAGCCCCCCTGTTGTTTGAGTGAGCTTTCTCAAAGACAAAACAGAATCTGAATGATCCCCACTCCAGTGGCGGCGCCAGCGGGGTGGCGGGCTTAAGCCCCCCACCAGACAGGTCAAGCCCCCCGTCGGACAGAGCTCGTCGGGCATTCAGACCATAAAACATATAAAAATAGGCCCACACCAAGCCAACACATGTCTGTCACAGTCTGAGCGTGCTATTTTTGGCCATCTATAGGTTGATATTCTTTAAAAAAAATCTCATTTGGGAGGGGGAACCCATTCTCAACCCCTTCTCCCAGCTCGAGCCTACGAGCTCAAGTCCCCCTGTCGGACAACTTAGCCCCCCCAAAAAATATATCCTAGAGCCGCCACTGCCCCACTCCCCTCTACAGTCCTGATTACAATATAATTGATCTGTCCCTGAAGGTTGTATGGTGGTTGTAATGTACAAATATAAATTTGAATTGAAAGGAAGGCAAGCTCAATAAGCCTGTGTGTCTGAAAACATTAGCATATGTAGGAAATTAATAGAATTACTCATCGTAGTTGCAGACAGACTATATAATCAAATGTTCCTTATTTGGGACCTTAAACATTTCAGTGTTTCAAAAAATTAATTCAAGAACCATGCCAAAGGAGAAACAATTTGAAATTGATAAACCTGCCTTTCACTTATTGTGTTTCTCTTCTTGGTCAATTTCTTTTGCATGCATTAATCTAAATTGTTACATGCCATTAATCTTGTATTGTTCAATACTGTACTGAATATGCTATGCAATTTCTTAAACATGTTCCACCCTTTTTTTCAATACTAAAAATAAGTGTTTGCAGGTAGTCTTTATTTCACAAGATGTTATTTTCCTAAATAATTTATTTAGGTTTCCGAGGATCGATCAATATAAGTAGGCATTTGTATTTTTTGGTGTGAATCACAAGAATAGCAACACACGAAGTCTAGACTTGTTTCCAGTGGGGTTCTTCTGATGGTGAATTCCGCAGTGCACAGGAATACAATCAATCCCCTTACTCTTTTCCAAAGAGTTTACTGTATTCTTTAACATGCACATGGAAGATATTGCACACAGGACAAACGAAAGACGGTGCACTATTGTAAATTTTAATTCAGCCCTCCAGCTGAAACACAAAGAGAGCAGCGGATGGAATTGAACTGGACCCCAATGAATCTCCACAGTTCAACAGACTGACTGAGCTCATGCAGTGGCAGGTTCAAGGGGGCCCAAACTGGCCCGTCCCCCCCTAAATTTGTCAAAATTGTAAAAAAAATGGGGAAAAAAGTCTGAAAGTGCTATTTCCGGCCATCTAGAGGTGCCATAATCATAAATATACTTACATCAGCCCCAACCATGGTGGGCTTAGGAGGTATAGACCCTCCATTTGTCAAATTCCCTCACTGGGCCCTCTCTATTTAAAATTCTTTGATTCGCCACTGTCATGTTAGTATATTTAGGTAGAAGTTCAGTCCTTTTCATTAATTTTATTTTTATTTCTCCTCCGTCTTGATGTTTTTGGCAAAACCATTTGCCAAGTAAGAAATTTTATTTTAATTTTTTTTCGGCCCTCCTCTAATGATCTATAAAAAAAAACGCAAGTTTGCAAAACAAGGTACAACAAAAGTCTTGCCTTTTATATCCAGGGGCGGATCCAGAAATGTCCAAAAGGGGGGGGCCGAAAGCGGGGGCCGAAAGTTGGGCCGATTGAGACAACACTGTCGTATGGGGTCTGGGGCATGCCCCCGCGAAATTTTTGTGTTCTAGACGCCCGAACATAACATTTGAGGCATTCTGGGCTATCATTTTTTTCTTTTTCTCTCTTTTTTTCCTTTTTTTTACCTCCCAAAAGGGGGGGGGCCGGGGCCGGGCCAGCCCCCCCCCCTAAATCCGCCCCTGATATCACACATAAATCATTGTCACCAACAAATATCTGTAAATTAATAAGTAGTAATACAAGATCTTACACCAGAGCTCCAAGTGTGTTACTACCAATATGTCAAATTTGTTTGTCTCTCTAAAGGTCTCTTCAATTCCTCTTCAAATTTATGATCAAATATTCACTGCCTAAAGAATGTAGAATGATCCTGTTCCATCAATCACCTTCTGCGCTGGGACTTTCAAAATTATGTGCTGATGTTCTGTGTCATATTCACGAGTATTGTATTGATATGGTGAGGCTGATGGGAGATGTTTAGGTTTAATAAGAGGGAACTAGATGGTGGAATGGACCTTCCCCTAAGCCCTCTCCCCTTGAATATTACAAAGTATGAAACACGTGTTTTTAGGACATGCACATACTCCTGGCCCTGTCAAGGGTAGATTAAAAATGGGGGGGGGGGCAAGGCCAGCCCCCCCCCAGCTCCCCTCCCCCACACCTTTTGGAAAGTTTAAAAAAAAAAAAAGAAAAAAAAAAAAATTGATCACCCGACCCCGTAGGATAGTGTTGTCTCGATCGCC